GGCTCCGCCCAAAATGATGGAACGGCCGCCAGCCGAAAGGCCGTCGTCGAACGGTCGCCGGCCGGTGCGAGTGTCTGAGCGCTATAATAGATAGAGTCGCTGTGGGACCCTCATGTTCATCGCATTGCGGCATGCCGCCTCTGACGGTGTGAGAAATATCGCCGCAAGCTCGATCGAGCGCGTGTATAGAAGGCTTGCGCGCACGGGTTTAGGGTCAACTTCCTAGGCAGGGGCAGCATGCTGTGCGCTCGGACCTGCTTCCTTCTCATGTTGGGGTGCAAGCAACCTTCCATATGAAAAATTCGAGATGTTTGGTTTTGCCGACCGTTGCCTTTAAAGGCAGTGGATCGGCAAAACTCAACGACTCAGGATTTTAACGCGATAGATTCGTTATCGCCCAAGTATGAAAAAAGTGCAATCCTGGTTGCACAGCATGCCTTCCCTGCCGAGAAGATGGCTCTTAAACCTACACGCGTAGGCCAATCTTACACGCTCCCGGACGAGTTAGCAATTTCCTCCTCATCATTGGAGGCTGCCCGCCGCAATGCAATAACCATTGGGCCCCGCACGATCCAGCACCATCAGTCTTGCTCCACTCGTCCATTTCCGAAGGAAAGGGCATTGAAAACGCTCGTTTTCGCCGTTTTCAAGCTCGCAGAAGTGGATTTTCGGGATCAGCGTGTTGAATAACCCCAGGTAAGCAAAAATTTGACTAGGTTGATGCCGAGCCACTGCCTTTAAACATCCAATATAAAGCCTGAACCTTCTCCTATTTTTAGGATATCGCGCTGCAAGTTTAGGTTATTTTGAAAAGTTATTGACAGGGTCAAGCAAGGGGTGTGACACACGACCGCTGGTTACGACTCCCCCCCCCCCCCCTGATTGCTGTCTTAATAGGACCCCCTCCCTTGAATTATAAATATAGCATTACCTGAAGGCCCTGTCAAACATAATGAGTAACATGTCCATAATGAGCATGCCAATTAACCCCTGTAGACAAAGTTTGAGCAATTCTGAAGATTCAAGACACTAGGCGAAATGGTCATATTCCAACATGGTTAACTTTGTCTCAAAGGTGAATTAGCTATCCGTTTTTACACTCAGGACAAACACTACTCCTTCTTTGTCCATCTCAGAAATCCCGCTCGAAAAGACCACCAAACGGTGGAATTAGAAGCCAACTAAAGTCTCATTTTTCCCATTTTTCGCTTTTAATGGCTGTGCTTTCACCAACTATTACTCGGAGCAAAGAAAACGATCTCCTAGTTTTCACAGAAGTGATTTGAGCCTGATTCGTTTTCTTTGCTACTTGATGAAAGCACAGCCATCAAAAGGAAAAATGGGAAAAATGAGATCTTGGTTGGCTTCTAATTCCATAGTTTGGAGGTCTTTGAAACGGGATTTCTGAGATGGAGAAAGAAGAAGTAGTGCTTTATATTGAGTGCAAAACGGGTAGCTAATTCACCTTTGAAACAAAGTTAACCATGTTGGAATATGACCATTCCACCTAGTATCTTGAATCTTCAGAATTCGCTCAAACTTTGTCTACAGGGGTTAAATTGACATGCTAATTATGGATATGATACGAATATCATGTTATCACTATTATCGGATTACCCAACTACGACCCCCTCCCCTTTTGACTACTCAATACGACCCCCCAGGTGTGGCGTGCCACACCCCACGCTTGACCCTGGTTATTGAGTCTCGTTTGAATAACGCAAGAATTGTTACGCCAATCTAATATATAAATCTATTCTATGCACATCAGCTCCAAAATGACATCCCTATTTTAGAAAAAAACGCACTTGCGCAACAACAGTCAACCCTATGCGGTACGCGTCACGGAAACCGAACGAATATGAAGAAAATTTTTGAAGATCAAGATTTCATTGCAAATCTGCTTTACCTCTTCACGTTTTATGATTAAGCTTTTTTTCTTATTTATGATTAAGCTTTTTTTCTTATTATCACCACCCTGACTAGAAGAGATACATTCATTCTATAGCTTTACTCTTGTGCTCATACGTTTGAATTTGTTTACACTCCTACTACTTGAAGAAGTGCAGTCACTTAATTCACACAGTGTACAAGTAAAAAGTTTCAATGAACAACCATTGAATACTGGTAACTTATGACGGAAATGGCTATGGCACTCCAACATCTCAAAAGAACAACTATGAGCGCAAATTGCGATGAAGTTGAGTACCACAACATCACTGAGTCTGCGCTGAAGCTCAGATTTTCTCCCGGCTTGTATGAATGCGGGAGGAAAAGTTGTCTCGGGCAAAACCTCCACATCAAAATGCCGGTGTATGGAATTTCACGCGACAGATTTGATTAAAGGCAGTGGATAGGCAAAACTTGACAATTGGAGGCTGCCGGCAGCATTGTTATAACCGTTGGGTCAACGATTCGGCGTCATCGGCCTTGCTCCACTCGTCCAATTCCCAAAGGAGGGCAAAGAAAAACGCTTGTTTTCGGCGTTTTCAAGTTCTCAAAAGTGGATTTTCGGTATCAGAGTGTTGAATAACCCCAGGTAAGCGAAAATTTAACTAGGTTGAGATTTGCCGAGCCACTGCCTTTAAGTCCTACTGTCGCTCATCAGTTTTCTATGCGCTCGAGTCAACCACGAATGTCTGAGTCCCTCGTGCTACACATAGTGCAGCACGCCATTTCGCCGCGCGGGATTTCGCGGTCCGAAACATGTTAAAGGCAGTGTCCCGGCAGATTTCGCATCTCCATTCTTTTTGCATGTTTTGGGCTTTTTCGACCCGTAGACCCCGATTTTGATCTTCGAAACGGTTGAAAAAACCTTTTTCAAGGCGTTTATCCAATCAAAGGCAGCTGGTCGAGAACTTCAATGGAAAGTCGGGAGGCCGTAGCAGGAAGACCCTGCTGCCTCTAATTTTTGCTTTGGATAGCATGCACAATGCGGGAGAGCGGTCGGGGGGTCCCGCGCCGAACAACAAGCGAAGTCGTCCGAGCGCGCGCCGATTGGGGTTGCACGCGCCGGTTCAAGCTCTATTTTCTCGGCCCAGAGAGAACATCAACCAGAGGAACTGTGCCTGGAGGTCAGTGGGATGGCCAGGATCCCACCATAGCAATATTCTCCAGGGCGCGATCTGCCGGGACACTGCCTTCAAGGCAAAATGCGACTTTTGACGGCTAGAAACCCTCTTCAAAGTTCCGGAGGTCCCACAGCGATTCTCCGTTTTAACCGGGTGAGGGAATCCACCCAACCAAATGGGTATCACAAGTTGTCAGCGACACTAACTAGCACCATACACAGCATCATTGGGGGGGGGGGGGGGGGAGGGGGGGGACGGAGCTTACCTACCCAAAAGAGTTGCCGCGACATATCCATAGGGGTTATGAGCCGTCGGAACGCCGTAACGTAACTAGCGCCGTATGTGGAACTGATCTCTTTACACATTGAGCCCCGTTATCATCCAGCAAAGCTTGAACCCAGAATAGGTGTAATTTCGAACTAAAAGTTCAATATCAATATGTGCCCGGCTAAGGTAAAAGGTACAAGGAGTTTTCTGAGAGGTTATTCCCCATGATAGCAATTTCGTTCCCCTCCTCCCCCCCCCCCCCCACTTGCATTTTCTGAAACGTGAATTCTTTTTATAACAACTTTCACCGAATTTAAAAAATTGGAAAAGAAGCGAAAAACTGCTTTAATTGGGAATACCAGCTAAGTCCGAATCCAATTGAACTAACTACTAGGTTTTAAAATTTTACATTCGAAGATGAAAACCAGACTAAACTAACCTCGTCGGCAAGCATCCAGATTCAAAATCAACAGCTTCTGGAACAGACCGCTTCCGATATTTTCGTGCTTTCGACATTTTCGTACTCTGCAGGCTGCATTTTCGAACTCAGCGGGAAGAATAAGCGCAGCTAAACAAATAAATTTTCGTTCGAAAGTTTTCCCGGACGCTGCCTTTAACGATCAAACAGTGTGCACATTTTTGAGACACCCTATATTACCAGCGCAATGTTTTCACTCCTCTTTTTTAACTTATTGTCAATCTTTTACTCTCATTTTATTGCACGCTTATGAGGAAAATGGAGTTTTTGGCCTGCTCAATCACGTTGCAACGGCTTTACATTCTGCAAGGACTACATATCTTCGTGTCAAAGTAATCAGAGGTTGTGTCGCTCTCCATGTGTAATAAGATTACAAGAAATTTGAGCCTAAAAATCAACTAATTTCCTTTGAAAGAGGATGGCGACCAATAAGCCTTTAGTTCATGTTTTATTATCCGTATATATTCACGTACGAATGAAGATGAAATGTGTTAAATGCCCAGACCGAGCAAAAATGCTTTTTATTATACAAAAATCTAAAAGGCATGTCCACCCAAAATGGGGTCGATGCGATTTTGATACCAATAGTATACTTATCCAACTCGCGCTGGAAAAAGTTGCTTCCGAAGCGAGAGAATTGTCGAAAATCGCTCAGATGACAGCGCCACGTCGGCTCCTCCCCTTCGAGTGGGCATGACGTTCGTCCCGCCCATCGGTGCGCGTCCAACCAATCACCGTTCCGAAGAAATTGCTTTACGAGTTCAAACGGGGTTTTTTTCGTGGTTTTCGCGGATTTTCGACTTGATATTCGGAATCAGGGGTATGAGATGGTCCTGGGACGGCAAAAACATGGAGGTCAAAATTTTGAGTGGACGGTGCCTTTGACAGTTTTTCGCGTGCTGGTAAAGCGCATCCTTGAGGGAAACTAGATATTGTGGTGTAACATGATTAAGTGATTATTTTCCAATTTAGTCACACATTTAGCATTTATCAGATAAGCTGAGCTTTTCGAAACTTTTGTGGAACGCTCGGATTCGAAATTTTTGTGGAACGTTCGGAACGTGTCGCTTCACATTCACGGTGAATAAGCTGCAAAACAGCCGCTTCTTTGCTGGCATCTGCCAACGTCTGCTCTTGCAAGTGAGCTCGACGGACGCAGCCCTCGCTTCTCGTCCCCTCTCTGTCTGAGCCCCTGTTCTCCGCTCGCCGAGTTTACACCAAGCCATTTGGTATGACTCGAGCACTATGGTATTGTCTACTGACGTTCTCCTTTATCGATCGAACGGAAACAAGTCCAGATGAACCACAACTTACTTTTGAAGATCTCTATCAGTATGGTAAATACGACTACACCGATAAAAATTGGCCTTCTTGCGTGGCCTTCATGAGGAGGGCAATGGAGGATTTTCAGTGAGTTTTAATTCTAGAGCGTATTGATTTATATATCAAAAAAATAGTTAGGAATTTCTTCAAAACTGAAATTATGCTCAAAGATTTCCAGGCTTACAGTTTATGATCAGTTCCAGATTTTTTCATAATCTATTGGAGCAATTATTGTTTGCTTACCACAAAGACTGCTTGAATTGAAAAATAGCATGGTTGTAGGAAATTATGTAAATCCCTTGATTCGATTTCGCGGAAATATGCAGTTGCTCCGCTGCTTGAAATTGTTTGATTTCAGAAAAATTCTTCACTTTCTTTTATAGCCTTAAGCGTTTCATTTGTGGTATTTCTTGCCTATTTTGCGCATATGTTTTTTCTTTGTTATTTCGCATTTGAATGGAGAGTATTCAAATGCAACATCTGCACAAAGTTAAGAGTGGTGGGGTTTTGATGCGAATCTTAGCGGCTGTAGCGGAATAATTGCCCTTATCCCCTGCAGAAGGTAAGATTTAAAGAGAGGAAATTGCTGCAAAAGGCAGACGTGAGTGAGTCTCACCACCCATCAGCACGGTTGGTTTGAGGTTATGGAGTACAAAATTATACTTCAAAGTACCTGAATATGTCGGAAACAGATCTTCTGTTTCCAGTCGTAGGTGCTGGATGGTACGTGCGCACTAAGTCATATCGTTTTTTTCGTTTTTTATCTACTCGCCAATTCAAAGAATGTATAACAGCTAGGACTATTACGGTACCGTTTTATCGTTAATCGCTTGGTATAACAGCGCATGATTCCTTTTGACAAACTATATTGCTTTTTATGTAACATTGCTTACAAAACTCTACCGCTACGCAATATTTGTATTATAGTATGTGTTTATACTTTGCACTCTTGAACACTATTTCCCACGAACTTCGTTGAATCAGCTGCTGACTTTCCATTAGCGAATCTTTGGAATTTAGAAATTGAAAACCTAACGAACTCTTCATTATTGTATGAGAAGAGGTTGCCAAGGAACTCTTGCGGCAACAATCTTAAACAGTCTTAGTTCTGCGAATTTCTGTAGTTTATTCGAAGATTCCCATTTATGTCATTGGAAGCAATGCTTTTTTAGTACCTATACTAAGCTTACAGATACTTTGAGGATGAGCTAGTCTGGTGCAGACGTAAATGCACCCAGCAAGTCGAATCACCAGATGCGAGTTCCTTCTCGCAGATGCATGCCCACTCTGAGCGAGCGATATGTTTGCTTCGCTGTAAGAGAGATAAATTTACCGGTAAGTAAGAATTGTAAGTTTTCCTTAAAGTCTTTGCTCAACCAGCATTTCAGAGAACCGGCCACCTTTGAAGAAAATGAATACATTCTACGATTTTCTGGAGCGAAAACCATATCTGTATTTGCATATCTGCTACTGGAAGGTAAAAGTGCTACATAGTTTTCGCTTACTAGTCTTCACTAACCAGTAACCTCTCACAATCAAAACCTAAAAGAATAATCTTAGTTTTGGTTAACTTGATGCATTGTAAGGATTTGATAGCTTCTCAGACAGTTGAAGCGTGCAGCGCGTGCGCAGTCACACGGTGGCGCAACACCCAGTGCGCGGATGGCAGGACATTGGATGCCGCGCCGCTGGTGCTGGCCCGTGGATGGCTGCATTTTTTTCAGTTTTTCGTTGAGCTGTACAGGTCTTGATAATGAACTCCACACTTTATACGCCAGAAAATATGAATTCGTATTTGAATCCAAAAATTCAGATTCAGCATCCATTCGCAATGCTACCGAAGGCTAACGCTTGGAAGCAAAAAAACAACTTCTACTTCCGCGACTACTCATACACTAAGATGTATTATCTAACCTCTTGAGTGATGGGGCAGCCTGACCACTGCCTCGTACACTACGCGGGTATCCTTTGTGCTTACGGCATGTAATAATTGCAGGCGCGCGGTCCACACGGATAGAGTATAAAGGCACGCGCGCGGCGTGGTACAAAATTAGGCACGCGGGTCGCGGCTTGGCCACTGATACGCGTGCCGCACGCATCGAATGTCTGGGATGGCACGCGTTTTTGTACTGCCGGACACGCCCACAAATAAGGCACGCACTTTGCCGCATTGACCATAAACGCGCGTGCGCCGCACGCTCCAAGTGTCTGAGTTCTAACAGTTGTGAAGGAAAATGCCGCTTTTTTCAAGCTTCTAGGCTGTTGATATTTCTCAGAAACTAGAGCATGTTTAAGGAAACAAAGCAAGCCGAAAGCTCGAAAAGCCTAAGCACGAAAATTAGGACAAGCGTAGAAATGGATTAATGCTGTGTTTACTATCTGCAGGAGCAAGTGAGAAATATGCAGGTTCCCTAAATGCGAAAATCCGATTTTTGCGAAATCTGTTCATGAATTTTGGCTTCAAACTATATGCGGATCATGATTCAGGCAAATGCTTGGTGGTTATATCGTAGAGCTTGTCCTGCTTCATCGAATAATGCTCCTCTACACTTCTTAAGTTCTCAATGTTGTAAAAAAGTGACTTTTTTGCAATCTAAAATACATCGCAGTATGGAAAAGCAGCGAAACTACAATCAGGCTCACAAAAAAACAGACTCACTGATCAGTGAGTTTGATCGGCGGAGACCAAGATAGGTGGATCTGGGCATTCAAACGAGCAATTTTTTACTTACATCCTAAGCTTCATAATCGCAAAAAAAAACAGATGAGGATCTTAGACGATAAACAGCAGTTTTTACATCGTCTCAAAAGCAGCAAACTTCCCAAATACTTTGTGTCTTTCAGATGGGTGAACTCGGAATGGCAGTAAAGAATGCCTATACGTACTTGGTGAAGAATCCAGATCACAAAGACACTCTTGATGGTTTGGCCTTCTACATGGAGCAACCGGGTTATGATGATAGCATGCTTGTCGACCTCCTTCGAAGGCCTTATGAGGTTTGCTGAAATTGTGCTGGCCAATTCCGATATGTTTTTTAGATCAACTTAAATCAATTCAAAACAGAGGTTATAAATCGAATGATCGTGGATCGCACTATTTGCATGCTTCATAGCAAAAAAGATGCTACCACAAAATCCCAAACTGTATACAGTAAGACTATCCCATTCGATTTTCGAATTTGAATATCTGCAAATAAAATAAATGTGACTTTGCTTGCCAATTCTTACGCTGAGCGAGAACAGAGCAACATTGGCTGTTAAATGACGAGGAAAACTTTTGGTTCCTTCTCCCTCTCATTTTTTCAAAAAACAATGCAATTGAAACATGTGGAATTCTGTTTTGGGTTCATTTCTTTAGCTCGTGCGGATATTTGTTACTTCCATAATATCGACTATGGAGTACATTAAGAATTGTAGTATTTGGTGGAAAATTGGTAGAAATTTTTCTTTATTAAATCATCGAAAGCGTTGAGTTGTCTCCGTTTAGAGAGAAGAACGAATGAAGTATAGCTAGATTACTTCCCAAACTGATTTTTATCAAAGCTACTATTTGCTGGCTTTCCACCAAAAAAAGTAGAATGAATATTCTATCAGTACATGCTTAAAGGCAGCGTCCAGGCAGATTCTCGACTTCTATACTTTTATGTCATCCAGGCCTTTCCATGACGCTGATTCCGAATATGGAACTCAAAAAGCGTGAATTTCTCAGAAAATCACCTTTTGGGGCTATCTTGGGAAAACCCGGACGAGTGCTTCTGTTGTTATTTTTGTCGAAAGTCAAGTAATAACAGGTAAACGCTGTAAGTTCGACTGTGTTGGTCATGTGAAAACACGTCAAGGCTGAGGAGATTTCGTTCATAAGGGGTTGGCCGTCTGAGGGAAGTGGGCGGTTGTCGAGCTCGGATCTGCCTGGACGCTGCCTTTAACAAGATTTCCAGGAGAAATACATCTCGGGAGTGAAAGCTTACAACGAGGAGGACTGGAATCGCTGTGTCAATGATCTAGAATCATCTTTGGAAAAGACTCTAGAAGAGGATCAGAGGTGTGAATATTCTTGTATTTCCCGAAAAAGCAAAATGAATACAGCTTTAGATGCCGCCTGCTTTGCGAAGACAAAATTGACTGGAGTGCAGTTGATGGAAATCCCGAGCTGGATGTGCTCATGACCAGTGGGTTTCCTCTTTCTAGAACTAGGCAAATTCAAGAATGACTCACTTCGTCCAAAATAGGGACTTGCTTTTTTCCTTTTCTCTCACATTTTGGAAGGTTCTAATTCAGAATTGTTATTTTAGGTATGCAAGCATCAGTTGTTCGTTGCCAGCACAACTGTCTTTACCAACTCGGGCTCATAAATGGACACAATGTTGGGCATCTCCTGGCTTCCCATTTTGAATATCTCCATTTCTGCTATTACAAACGTAAGTTTTTTTTACCTAGCTTTGATCTGAAAGAAAAAAGTAGGAAACAATAAAGAATTCGTGCAGAGAATGCGTAAGACGAGACTTCACAGGCTAAAAGGAATGTCAGAGATCTCGGGTACATAGCAGAACTTTCACCACTTGACTACAGCTATGTACGGTTATCAGGGGACCCACGGGGTGAGAGGGGGGGAGGGGGTGACGCAAGGCCTCCTCTTCAAAATAGGTATCAAATTTTTTGAAAGCGGCCTACGCAATTACGCTAGTGCTTTTTTGTTTGTAAACAATCAACCACATTATTCGTACTATTTGAAAATTCGATTAGTTTTGTAAAGAAGGTTAGGGACGTGGCTGCCATAGTCCGCGAAAAATTATAGAGTTAGCCTTCCTTCAGTCAAAAAAAAATGTCTCCCCTTTTCCCCAAAATTTCGTCTGACCGCCACTATGATGAACGTATCATCAAACGGTGTATGCAACATAAAAAGACATTAACAATTTGTTGATATGATACTTTTACGACTTTAAAATCAATACAAGCCCCCCCCCTATGTGAGGTGTCTGCATTATAATATTTCTTGACATATAAAATAGAATGTTTTTACACTTGTGCAGCAATGTACTAAATGTAAATTCCATCAACTCTGTTTGCAGTCATGCGCGGTACGGAAGCTGCTCGTTCGGTGGCGAATTTCCTTCTTTTTGACAAAGATCCACTGATGCAGAGGAATAAGTATTCCTACAGTAGACAGTTCAATAAAGACGAGCTTTTTGAACCAGATCAGGTCATTACCAGATTATTTGCATTGGCATTTCAGTTCATCCAAATGTGTATTTTAGCGCATTGTGGAAGTTTACAAGCAGCGCACATTGGAAGAGCGATATTTGAAATTTATTGAGGAAAAATTCAAGTTCGTCAACAATGAGGTGAGATAATAGAAGAAAATGAAACTTTCAAGGTCTAGGCTTTGAATTTAGTTCCCGCCCGAAATGCAAGACGATAGAAAGAAGTTTGACGACTCGATCTCTATAGAAGACAAATTCGACTACGCGGCAGTAGGGAAACTACTCTCTCAGACTGAATGCAAAGCTCTTCGTTCGAGCTTTCCCGATCCTCACAGTGAACAGATTCTCAAAGAACTAGAGGAGCGCATTGAGATTCTTTGGCCGACAGCCAAGTTCACTGATCGTGCCTGCAGCCGCGAGTCGCGCACAGCTGCCTGCTCACGAGCCGTTGTGCTCTCGATTGAGAACGACGACTGCTCGGAGTGGCTAGGAGCCATGCACACTGGTTGCGCGATTGTTTTTTGCACATAAAGCATCACTTCGATTCCTGAAGTCATCGCATACGTGTACAATTCCACCATTGCCCTTTTACTCCAGTCATCTCAATTTTTTCAAATGCACTGCCGAAAAATAAAAAATTTCATGTGAAATTTGGCTGTTGTCTGGTGAAGTCATGTTACTTTCCTACAAGGAATTTTGTTTTTCCATAAATCTTACGAGGACTGTCTCCTTGCCACGTGTCAAGATAAAAGTTATCACGTTTGGAGCCAGTTTAACAAGTTTTTTTCAAATCATCTCCGGTGAGGTACGAAAGCATTTAAAATGACTCGAAAGCTGTTCAGGGATCTTTTGTAAAAGGCACAATACTTTTTGAAAGAACGTACATGAGTCATGTAAGTGTGAAAGCTGCACGTTTGTATCTGTAAATATTTGAGAGAAAGTTACAAAATTCTCAAGAAATAAAATTAGCCTTCTGGGCGTGGCTATCGGCCAGCAAAAATCTTTGAAAGCATCACAAAGAATTCCTGGAGCACTTGGCTAAAGCCGCGCCCTTCAGTCAACAAACAATTTTTTTTGTTGCTTCCTCTCCTCCTCAGAACGGAAATCATGGGACCGCCGCTGGTTAGCTTTAATAATTATCGATCTCCCTTCCCCACCCGCTTTCTTCTTCCGCTACTGAGAAGAAGTCTCAGGTGCCAACGCTAATCGGGTGTTCTCACTCCTGTTTTTTTTACTCTACCATCTTAGCACTGTTTTGATAGCGAAGGAAGGCGAGCTTCTAGATTTCTCAGCCTCTCTTTCTTGCAAAGCGTGAGTAAACTTCTCTAGCTTATTGAACAGTGTGGATGTGGTAGGTTGGTACATTGCGCAGAAAGAAAGGATTTCAGCATATAGTTTTGAAGAAGGTCCGTAAACCACTCCTAAATGTATTGTAATATGGAAGCTAATCAAGTGTCAACTTCTATCGAAAATGCACAAGCACAACAATAATTAAAGCCCTTTCCCCCTCTAAACTGGTCACTAGAGCCATTTTCGACAAACAATTACCATAGCCAATGTTAAAGTCCGTACCCTAAGCACAAACTCTGCAAATGTCCTACCATTGCAGCTATGAAATCACGAGACAACTCCTCTATCTTCACAGATGACGTAGTCATCTGATAACTGAAATGAGCCTCCCTAATCACGTTATGACTTATGGTGTCAGTATTGTCAAGATTATGCCGGAACATGTCAAGAAAAAAGCAAATATTCTAAAATGTGATTATTACAGCGAAAGTGATAGTTAAGTCTCAAAAAAAAAAAGACATCACCCCATGTATCAGGGAACTTCGCGCTTAACGTTTTTCAGCAGTGCAAAGAAATGATAACAGGATTGCGATGTTCACATGCTTTTCAAGCTGAGCAGCACAATACCAAACCTATAGATACAATACTAAAAACCTATAAACAATGTAGAACGATTTCAATAGTGCGCCAGATGGCCATAAAAGCGTCGGAGTGCAATATTCATTCCTTTCATGCGTCATAAGTATTGACAAATATTCCCATTCTCGCACCTACATTCTTGATAAGTACTTCTGACAATCCCATAGTTGTTGTGTTTTATATTTTTTGATGTTTGTTTTGTTAGTATGTAAAGTAAACGGTTTAATTACCCAAGTTTGGGATAATTGGCAGACTTTCAATGTTTGTAGTCATGGTATTAGACGATTATCGTTCTAATTACAGTCGAGTAGATTTTTCGCTTAGTATAGTGTGCAACTTGTGAAACTTGTGCGTGAACAAGTAACCACGCCAGTACTGCGGGCATCTTGCGCGCGCAATTGGCCGGCGTCAAAGTCGAAGCTACTTCCTCACGCGCAAATACCGCATTTCACCTTCTGTGCAAGCACACTATATTAATCGGGAAATCTACTCGACTGTACCTCTCCTCCAATAATTTATCTCACAAAGCCGAAGCTTGTTAAGAAGCTAGGTACTGATAAAGTATGTTTTAAAAGATTTTCTTCTTCTTGACTCATAAATATGTAAAACTTCATTATATTTTGTACAAATTATAGCACAGGAAAATCTCAGTTTACTCTAACGGTAATTGAATAGCATGTTGTTATATTCGGCAATCATTTAGAAAAACTCTCTCTCCTGCAGATGAATTTCCGCAATATTCTTCTCGATATTAGCTGGCTCAGGCTTTTGTCTTCTCTTCACAGCTCTGCTTGCTTCATGTAAAAGCGATGCTATGTAAAAGTAGTCGGGTGTGTCATCTCGGCCAAGATATCGAAGATAGAACTGAAAGACATAGGCGAGAATGCCGCAGTAAAAACTTCAAATATGGTAAGCTTACACCAATCTTGAAGAAGGAGAATGGGCAGTTGTTGAGGACCATCCTAGCCGAGAAGAATGGCGACTTCATCCATTGCCTGTATAATAATTTGTTGAAAATTGTTATTGAGGCCTAGATCAGGAGGATTACCGAATGTTAGGCTCGCGATCGTATGCCGACCATACTTGTGGTTTTTGACTTCTGCAATTGACCCACTCGTTCAAGCAGTACAGATATCCCCACAAATCGTCTACTCTACCCTAAAACAAAAAAAATAAAATTACAACAGCCTAAAACTACAAAATTTACCTGATCCCTGCCAATTTCTGCGTTGAGACTGCTCCATTCTTCTGTGCCTCTCATTCCAGCATGAGATCTCGGCGGTCTGTGTATGCCTTCTTCATCCAGATATGCCCGTGCCATACCCATGTCATACATAACAACTATTTTATTCTAGAAAAACTTCAGTTGCGGTACGTAGGGTAAGTAGAGAATATAAATCGGTGCATGCAGAGACTGGGCGCAGTTGCGTCTGAGGAGGATAGTTCGTGTCTGGAAGAGATAGCAGACGGAAGAGGGGTAAAAATGCGTTTGATCAGAGAGACGAAGAAAAAGTCCGCAGTGACGCTCTTTTCTGCTGGCTATGAATAGCCTATACTTTATCTCAAATTTTCCAAGCAATAAACATTCTTGGAATATAGTGATAGGTAGACTGTATAGGCGCGAATGTGCAAGTAATAAATTTGAAGAGTTTTTACACATCAGTTTTCGGAAATTCGACGCATAAAATTTGCTCATCTTCTAAAAATGTATTTTGTTTTGGAAAATATCAGCGTTTTCCCATGCCCTCACTCCAAAAAAAAATCTAGCCTGCCCCAAATAACGATTTTTGAGATTTCAGGCTTCTGACTTGGCAATAATCTACATCTAAATTTTTATTTTTTGAGATTACTCACATCGTACATGCCTATATTCTCCGGCTTGATATCTCGATGAATAAATCCACATTGGTGCATGTCGAAAATTGCCTGAAAAAGTACGACGTAAAGAAGCAAGTTGCAGCGCTCGTTCAAAATTGGAAGCGATATGGACAACACCTTTATTCAAATGCAAATTTTCATCAAAGAAGTTTGAAACATACTTTCAACAACTGGAGCCCATATTCTATGATCTTGAGAGTCTGCTCTTCACCCTGTAGGTTTCCAATTATCGGTACAGGGTTGCCAGGTAAACATTCCATGACCACATATGCCAGATTCATCGTCTGCGTCAGAATGCTTGGTGCATGGAATTACTTATCTATATATCTATACCTTGTCGCCAATAGTCACTTCTGCAGAACCGCTTCCGAGTTTTCTTACAAGATGTAGTGTTCTGTCCTCTAGATTTTCTTTGGCTATCTGTAAAGCATTTTTTTAAATAAACTAATTTCTTAGGCAAAAGTGACTTTTCATGTCGATAATATAGGCTTTTTCAAACAAGAGATTTCTAATTATTTAAGCAGATTTTTTCTCCATAAAGGATAAGAGATAAGAATGAGAAAATTTGTCATGACACTGACAAGCCTGTCCATCACTAAACTTTCCCATTCAAGACTTGCAGCTGCATACGGTGATAGTGCCACTTTCATGACAGCCTTTGTCGATCCCTTTTGACATTGAAGAACTACTCCATTAGCGCCTTGAATTTTGATTACCAAATATGGACGTGTGCAGGTTTTTAACAATGAATTTTCACCGCTGCCAATGGAGTTCTCAATCCTCCATCCATCTATGACCCTACCATGAAATGCAGCTTCAACATCATCAGGTTCAGCCCTAAAAGAGCTAGAGTCAAGAACTTTTTTTTGGCATTCTTCCAGTGAAGTTATAGCATTCGCTCAGTTCGGCATTCGTCAAAAGTCCAGTGATATCGGACTAGCGAAATGAGGTTACTATGAAGCCTCACATTTGCGTGACCGTGCACGAGTAAACCGAAATAAAAATGAATCATTCTTTGAACACCACTGCCTGGATACCTTGTTTACGCACTCACTTGCTTTTGCATATAGGGCCGGGCATACTTCACGCGATTTCAGTCGCGACGCGATTTGGCAACATACCAACTGTCCATAACTCATTGTAAACACATTTTAAATGTGCAGAAGATACGGCATATTATCAGTCCATGTACATATGTCACACGCACTATGCTTGTGCGGTTTGCTAATGTTGGATCTAAAGACTTCTGGCGAATTGCCAAATCGCGTTGCGACTGAAATCGCGTGAAGTATGCCCGGCCCTTATGGTAACAGTCTGATCTAGGGTTCTATAGACTTAATGGCCCGAGACAAGCCCTAGCGACATTTTTTCGCTCTACTTTGTTAGTAAGAGCTAATTGGAGTTCAGTGGCCGTATTCATCATATAGGTACCTTGAGGTAAATTCTACCTCCAGGTAGTTTTATCACTCATTATCGGCAAGTATCCGTATTCACAAAGTACCTTGAAGTAAATTCTCAATGTATTTTGCTGATAATGAGTGAGGAAACTACCTGGAGGTTAATTTACCCCAAGGTATCAATGATTTTACGACCACAGGCAATGGCGTTCTATTTTCTGTCTTCTTCGGCTTTCCAGCCGCGCTGAATCAGTGCGGCGCAGTACAAATTGGTCCGAGCAGAATAAATAATTGCTTTAGAATTTCACGGCGAAAACATGCGTCCTCTACAACTCGAATTTGGACAATCCCCGCCAAGACTGAGATACAGAGTCGCTCCGGGATCATACCTTTAACTGTGAGCACGTACTCTGGCACGCGCCATACTTGATCCGCTTGATCCACTTGTCCGCTTGATTCGCTTCATCATTGGTCAACTCAGTGAACTAACCAATTGGCAGATCAAGCGGATCAAGTATGGCGCGTGCCTCTGCCACAAAACGTAAACCCACAAGTGAAGGAACCCGCCCCCAAGGCGTAAGATTCCCAACCTCCCAACGTTTTTCTTCCTTCTGGTTGATTGTTACAGCCTCATCTTGCGCGATGGCCTATCCAAGGGGACCCACTTTCACATGGCACTGGTATCCCGCAAATCCTCAAACTTGCCCGGACACTGCCTATAAGTGCGAAGCTGCTCGTTAACCCAGCAGCGAGAACATGGCTGGGAAAGGTGGGATACTCACGTTCAGGTGGAGAAACCTCTCCCAGTAATCCTCCCCCTCAAAGGCAGGGTCCCACCAGACTGGGGGTATCTGGCTCTCGTAATGATGTAATATTAGACCCCCTACCTAGGTGATGACTGAAGTTCGGAGCGAAAAAGGGGGTCTACTATCACATCATTACGAGAGCCAGATATCCCCACTCTGGTGGGACATTGCCTTCAAGCGTCGTTCAGTCCGTGTCGGTACCCGTCCGAACCGCTGGAACCTGTGCTAACCCATCTGAACCCGCCGGAGCGCGCCGGAACCTGTCATGTGAAGGAAGCATAGAAGATATGCCTGGAAACTGACACATAGAGCACGCGTGAAATACCGCGCGCGTTGTGTACATATTACTTGCCGGGCATATCGTGCATCCCACAGAATTGTTCCCATATGAACCGTCAATGTGACTGGGGTGGGGGAACGAAAGCCGCCAGTTTGAGCCGACTTTCGCGGCCAACTGGTCCTTTCGCAGTGTTGTTGCATGTCGTTCCAGGACCAGCAGTCCGCAGAGGCGGCCCAAACTGGCGGCTTTCGTTCCCGGGTGAGGGACTACTCAGACATTTTTTGCGGCCACCCGCGCGCTCATGGCAGGCTGGGCGAAAACCCGTTCCGGGCCTTGCCCTGCCATGCTAGCGCGGGCCAGCGACGGTTCCAGCGTGTGCAGCGACCCTGTCACCCGGACGAGCGGGCCAGCCTGTATTTCAATGTCTCCTTTGTCTTATTGGCCCGCGCTAGCATAGCAGAGCCACCCTAGGGTTGGGTTTCGGCTCGGCTGCACCTGCATGCACAAGTCACCTCAAATGTGGATACAACCCATGTGAAATCAAAAATAGTGGAGATCGTTCCTGCTTCACACTACTGATCGAACTACACGAGAGTATTTGGAACTCTATCAACGGTCAACTCATAGGGAAACCTGTTGTCAGCCTACATGCAAGTGTTACACCTTCTGCAAGCTCCGATGGCATCCCTTTTACTGCGTCGTATGTCACGCGAGTAACCCTTGTGCTTACAACATGCGTTAATTCATATGGATGAGCGGGTCGCTGTTAATTTCGGCATGCGTGTGATGGGTGCGCGGGCCGCCAGTGAAATTATGAGCCTAGACAGGCGCGCGGGCCACCGTCAGCATGGCATCACTATGTGCGCGGGTCGCCAGCTCGCACCTTTGGGCCGCTGCTGGGCCTGATGCATGTAAAGCTGATATTTAGGTGCCGCGGCTCAAAAGCGAAGCCCAGTTGGGCGACCGGGCCACTGCAACAATTGTCTGAGTATATGTCGCCGAATTTGGAAGAGTCCCGCGTGGATTCCCTGCAGGAACGCACGTCCGCGCATGTACAAGGGTGCATATTTGTCGCAAATGACCGCGGCGACCGCCCTTTTTCGGCGATATAGTCCTCTACCCTTCGTTCCCCTACCCATGTGGCTGTCTTTCGATCGTTCTAACAAACCAGCAAATTTAAGGCGCTCGAAGCCACGTTGGTGGTTCATATAGTTTTGGGAGATGCACCACACATCAAGCATTTTCATCTTATCCCGACAAGACAACTTAAGGGCCGGGCATACTTCACGCGATTTCAGTCGCGACGCGAATTGGCAATATTCCAACTGTTCATAACTCACTGTAAGCACATTTTAAATGTACAGAAGATAGGGTATTTTATCCACCCACGTAAGTTATGCACACTATTCATGTACAGTTTGCTAGTATTGGATCTGAAGACTTCTGGCGAATTGCCAAATCGCGTCGCGACTGAAATCGCCTGAAGTATGCCCGGCCCTTTACGAGTTTATCGCATGCCGATCATCTTGCTTTTCGATGTGATAGTAATTCGCGATTAATCGAGCGGAGGCGTCTCGAAACTGGCGGGGTTTTTCCCCCTACCCGATAACTCCAGATGAGCGAAGAAGCTCATTGCCTTTTCGCCTGGGCACTGCCTCTACACCCCGCGGCCGCAAACTTTCGGCAAATTGGAAATGTGCGGCTTAAACTACGCTGTACGAAGTTGAAAAGCCTGTTTTGTCGACCGCTCAAGTTACAGTATCTAGCAATATGTCAAGGACATTCTGAATACGAATTCTAACGCACGCATGTTTGCAGTTCGACGTTTCGCACTTTTGAAAGCCTGGTATGTGGAGCACGCAGGGGTGCGATCGTCGCGCTACGGTCGCGATAACGCGCAGTATTCAACCACTGGTCTTTGTTTTTGTTTAACAGTCCGGCGCCGGAGTCAAAAGTCCACGAAGAGGTACAAAGTTGCTGGTTGTTGCGAGCTTTACTACTTTCCAACCTCGTGTTTTTTCTTCGTTGCAATGTTCATCGATAGAACGTGTGAGGCAGCAAGACTGATAACACACGTGTCACTTTTTTAGAAGAACGATTCCTTTACGGAATTTGTGAAGGCATGATAGATGTAGCGTGGCTTTGTGCCTTCGCAATTCGTTGCGTTTACTGGCTGGTATTGCTTGCTTGTAATTTCCTGGGATACTCAACACTATGGGCCAAACGAGAGATCAAACAAAGAGGAGAACGTTATGTAAGTTCATGTCATCTCATCAGTCCTTCTATTCATTATTCTCACTTGGTTTTCAGGAAGCCAACCGCAAAATCCCTGCGCATGTCGCTATCCTTAACAACGATGGCACCATCAAAAAGGTCTAGTTCCCTTCGTATCAGTCACTTCACAACAGCTAAAGTTTTCAGGAAATGCTCTTGTCTCTTTTAGAGGCTGCTTTGGCGGAAAATATCCGAAGATTGACCATATATGATTCATCAACTGTCTATGTTGACTTAGCAAGGGAAATCCAAGGATTTTGTAGAGTCAAGGTATAAGTATTCGTCATCTGGGTTTGTCCTCAACTCGTTTTGATTCATTTTCAATTAATCGTACAGTCAGAGATATTCCAGCATATCAAGATTGTTGTGGGTTGCATCAACCCCACACACGACTTCAGCGCTTATCGACTTGTTGTTCAGCTGCTCTCTGCTGAATGTGGACGTCCTAAGCTCGTTGACACCTGTCGAGAGGTAAATCTCTAAGTTTCTTGAGTGGTAGACTTTTTTCCGTAGTTTTTGCATGTATTTTGGGATGTTAGATGTTTATGTCGAAAACATTTGACCACAATAATTGATTTCCATATTTTATGTTACGTCATCATATATAAATATTCAATTGTATCTCAGCTTTCGTCGTCTAAAAGCCGAATAACAACAGAATGCATAAGTTCACATCTAGCCAAGCACTACGCGCTGTGTGAACCCGACCTTCTCATACAGGTAAGAGCTTTGCAATCAGTGCTAGGTTCTTCCACCGGGTATATGCTCTTTCACCTTGCTCAGAGTGTTCCCCATTAGGGTCGTTTTTTAAAAAGTGAAAGTGCTGTTTCTCCATAAAATGATTTGGTTTCCAGGTCGGCACCATCCCTTCGCTATGTGGGTACCCCCCGTGGTGCTTGAGGGTCACAGAAATCGTACCAGTTCGATCATTACCATGCAGTCGCTATGCATTCTCAGAATGTGTTGAAGCGTTCAGTAGAAGAGACATTCGTTTAGGGAAGTAATAGCTTATTTTACGCAATGCGTCTATACTTTTCTCAGAATCTTGTGATCGATATCATAGGAGTGATGGTGAAGATGCTTGTGCTTGAGTAGAAAGTGTGTTACTGCCAGGGTCCTTTTTTGTAATCTCGCGACCACACTCCTTGTTTTATCTCATAGCTTTATTATGATACGTGTGTTAGTTCACTTAGTCGTTGACTGTCTTATTTATTACAACTTCAGCTGTAATTCTTATTTATCTGTTTGGTCAGAACTTGACGAATTTGTTATTGTTGAATAGCATGTATCATATTCTTGTTAAGATTCTATATGAAGGTTGTGTGTGATTACAAGGTTCAACCAATCAAGTGAGGTATATATCTGTCTGTATTCAAGCGCTAATTTGCTTCGTTGACAGTATCTGCTTGATTTTTTATTAGCATAAGGTCTCGCATTGTACTTGCACAATTTCGTGCTCGATTCAACTTTGACGCCTACCGATATGGACGAGTTGTCCTTTTGCGTGTGGTCCCAGGGCGAACCTCGCGGGATCAGTTCGTGATTGTTGGTTTTCCATTTTACGGGGCTATTGATTGCGGGTAGAGGTTAATCTACTCTGAATGGTAAATTGCCATGCAAACGGTGTAAATAGCAATTCCATGGTGTCCGGTATCAATACTGAACTTTGAGTTCTGCAATTTGGCTACACTTTTCCAATCGTATTGCTATTCTTGAGCAGTCCCAGTCTACACTAGCTTTTCTTTGCAGTTTATTTAGAAATGTAGGGTACTGCTACCCGAATTTGGTTCACTTTCATGTTTATGTGAATTTCGATTCTTCTGGTTGAATACGGCTAGAAATTAAGTTCATGGTTAAATTGTAGCCCCATCCCTTCCATTTACTAGAACAGTAGCAGTCTGATAGAAGGCTTGAGCTAAACTGTCTTATCTTTTCCCATTTTTTCTCTTCACAAGCGTAGGAATTGCGGTTGGCTTTATTTGTCGTTACTAGCAAACTGCTACTGGTATAGGTCGGTCTAAAATCCTTATCATTTTATTGAAAGGCACCAACTCCGTTTTGTTGCTGCAATCAGACGACAAAGAAGTTGCTAAACTATGAATTGCGCTGAGTTAGTAAAATTTGAAATGGCTTGGAAATGGTGGACTTCCACATTTGATCTCTTTTTTGTATATTTTATTTCAATCTTCTTCAACTAAATCTTCCATGCGCATTTGATGTATAATTACTAAATGTCTCTCTGTAGTTGCTTATCATTGTAATTGGTCGCAACGCTTGCGACTGTCCCTCTGACGTTGCGCGGTTCTCTGAGATACTCGATTTTACCTGGAAGCCATATGCATCGTTAAACCAAGGAATCACAACTTCTTTAGGATGGCGGAGTTGGCGCATGCCATTCCGGCGGTGGACATGATCAACGCCACATCGAGGCTTCAGATTGAAGCCGCTGAGGTTTGCTCCTAGTTACTTGATTTTAACTTGTACTAGTTTCATGTACGGATACAAAATTACAATTTTTTTATTCAGGTCCGCGCCAGTAAGCCAAACTGGGGTTCCTATTTGCGTTCGCAGATGATTCCGCAGGAAGACTATAACTTTATTTCTGCCTACGAGAACGCCAAGGTTTCTTTCTGTATTATTCTTTAACTTCATTTCAATTACGTTCTTTCCTATCTTTCTTCCCTCGATGTTGCATTCGAAAGCGACCTTGCGAATACTAGGAGCATTTGTACATTATAAAGACCCTTTTAAGTCAGTGGTGATAGCGAAATCAGTGGTTGTTCGAATGAACGCTTTATACACAAATTTATGAAGAGTCTGATATGAAAGTTTACCACTGTTGTCGTTATTGTCATTTTTGTCGATATTGTAAGCTAAAGTGCGAATCCTTACTTATTTTTTTTATTCTTTTTTTCCACCGGATATATAGCGACCGCGTTTTTTTACGTCAGGAATACCTTGAGAAAAGCACAAATCTAGTTAGCAACTGCAAGATTACATACGGAAAAGAGAGTAAGGTTGATTGTTTTATCACTCAGTGGTGAAACAAGTAGCGGTAACAACGTTGATATGGCGATGAACTACGAGCGAATCGCGGAGTTCGCGCTTTACTTCGTTTTGAAGTTCCTATTTTGTGCCGACAAAGTATATTTGATATAAAATTCACCCAACTCGGAAGCAGACATCGTGAGTGTGAATGTGATTGTAGTGTTTGAATGAAAAAGAATAAAGGATTAGAAGTGAAGATAATAGGTTCTTACTTTGCAGCGCTAGTAAGTACTTAAAGGCCTGTTTCGAATTTTTTTACCGTTCTTATATGCGTGCAATGAAAAATCATCTGTGTCATTTAAGAGTAAAGAAGAACGCGATACAGTTTTGGCTGCGAACGACGCCAACGGACAAGCTGCACGAACGATTGTGAACCTCATTACAAATGTTGCAAAGGATCAGAACGTGCGCTATGTTTTGACGCTGCTCGATGACATGCTTCAGGTATGCGTTCTCTCATGATATTTCCGTATGCAAAAAAGTGGTTTTTCTTTTGAAGGAAGATAAGAACCGTGTTGAGATTTTCCATAATGCTGCAAGAAAACAAAAGCGAACGGCCTTCTCTTGGTTTCTTGGTATTCTTCAACGACAAGACAACTTCATTGTCAATCAGGTGGGTTTTGATCATTTGCTTTGATTTGGTTTTTTTTACTGTTACAAATATGTGCTTTGATTTATTCCGTTGCTTACTGTTTTGTAAACTTATATTTATAGGAATAATATTACAGATGAGTTCCATCATAGCTAAGCTTGCGTGCTTTGGCTCTACTCTCATGGAAGGTTCAGAACTTAATTATTACTTCTCATTTTTGAAAGATCAGCTCAAGAGCTCTTCCGTGAGTTTGCTTCGAATGCTTCGCTCATGATTTTATGTGAAGAACGATTTCAGTCGAACGAATACATGAATACGACTGCAAGATGTCTGCAAATGATGCTTCGTATTGATCCTTACAGGTCAGTTCTAGTGGGAAATTGCCCGGTCTTAGTGGGAAATGCTTTTTTACTTGTACTAATTAAGCTTTTGGTGATAAAGTCTACAATTTTTTCTTTCCGGGCATACTTTTTGCAAAAAACCACTAGCTACCTTTTGTATGTGATATGCTTCCAGTATGTGTCGATCAAATGCTGATTTTTTTCTTTTGGCATGTGAAGGTTTCAACGTTTCCTTATATATTTTGTCTTTTTCAGACTGGCTTTCACAGAATCGGAAGGAGTACAGGCTATTGTTGCCGCACTAAATGGAAAAACTAACTTCCAGCTCCAGTACCAACTAGCCTTTGCCTTGTGGTGTCTCACCTTCAATCCTGATATTGCTCGTCGCACACCTTCACTTGGCGTAATTCAAGCCCTAGGAGACATTCTTTCAGAATCATCGAAGGAAAAAGCAAGTTTTTCTCGCACACCATTATGTTATATTTTGGGATGGCCTTATTGTTTCTAGGTCATACGTATCATCATAGCAACCTTCAGCAACATTTTAAAGAAGGTGGAAGAGAAAGATATAAAAAAAGAAGCAGCTTTGCAAATGGTCCAGTGCAAAACTCTCAAAACACTTGAACTTACAGATGCCAAAAAATATGGTGACACTGAGCTTGAGGTGAGATAGCTACTTCATATTGAAAAATCTGATCTGTGAAAAGTTATTTTTTTTGAGCAGAAGAATGCTTCAGGGATGGACATTTTCTTTTACAATGAAAGATTCATTTGTAGTTGTTTTTTGACTCTCTATTTTGTTTTTAATGCCATCTGCTCTATCGCTTCTTTTTTAGGAAGATGTTGAATTCTTGACTTCTCAGCTCCAGCTATCGGTTCAAGATTTGAGTTCCTTTGATGAATACTGCAGTGAGGTAAGTGTCATGGCGAAAGTGTACGGGAAAAATTACTTTGAGCAAGGAAGTATAATGTGCTTCTTTGAATCAGAGATAGTCGTACAAAAGATATAGCAATCGCTTAGTACTCTAAAGTGATTTGTTCCTGTTGTCAGGTTCGCTCTGGTCGACTGCAGTGGTCTCCAGTGCACAAATCAGACAAATTCTGGAGGGAAAATGCTCCTCGATTCAACGAGAAAAACTTCGAGCTTATCAAGTAATTTTAATACTTTTAGTGGCAGAAGTCAATCGGGAAGCATTTCAGAATATTAATACGGCTTTTGGAAACCAGTCAAGATCCTCTGATTCTTTGCGTAGCAGCTCACGATGTTGGGGAGTATGTGAGACACTATCCTAGAGGAAAGACGTAAGTTTGTTTTGGTGTTCCGTTCCTGTAACCCCCGGGTGTTTCTTCTTTTCAACACAATTTTGCTTCAATATGCATTTGATTCTATTTTAGCGTGATTGAACAGTACCAAGGAAAGCAGGCGGTGATGCGACTCCTCACTGCGGAAGACCCTAATGTCCGCTACCACGCTTTACTCGCTGTTCAGAAACTTATGGTGCACAACTGGGAGTACTTAGGAAAACAGCTCGATGTAGAAGCTCCTGAGACTGTGGCAGTCAAGTAGGGCTCTACATATATGAGTATATATTATGCATCTTTGATTATGAATACGTCACTTGAGCACTCTAATCGTCTGTTATGATCTGTTATTTAACTTAGATTTTTGCGACGATTTACGACTGCTATTAGTGTTACCGGTGGACTACTTCATTCCACTATGATGCTACTAGTATCAATTATAGATTCGTTTGTATAGAGATTCTTTACATTAGTTTGTTTATCTCTGAAAGAATTCGATTTCTCAGTCAGAACAGTTCATGTGATGTGAAATTTGAGTACTTGTACATTGTATCATCTCTTTGATGAAGAAAGAAAAGTATTTCTAAACTAGTTTTTTTCTCAACTCAATAACAAAGACATTTGTTAACGACAAAGTCTCATAATTGAAAACCAACAAGTCGCCTGAATTGTAAAAGGAAGGAAAGCTTTACATTGGCTCGAAAACTTGAACAGACAGATCAAATATGACGCCCGTTATGCCTACAGTATTTTGCGTTCCAACAATTGCCGCGATTGCGCCCTTCGGCAGGCACCAGACATCGAACGCCCGTAAAAGTGCTCGGACCTGGGAGGAGTTGCAGGTGCGCTCCATCGCCATTTCGATTAGAGCACCGTTTTTTCAGCTGGAGCGCACTATCTCCAAACACTTCACATTTGACGCCGTTCGTAGATAGCGATGAGTACGTGTATTTTTTTTTGCATCCGAGAAAATTTGGCATGTTAACGTACACGCTAGTCAGAGAGTCAAAAACTATTTCGTTGCTGTTAAATGGTTTTCCTGGTTCGTTGATGCTCTTCCGAAAAGGAGACTTTTCGCTTTATGGAACATCCCGCTTGCAGAGAAGCAAAGCTTGGGGCAAATATATCCACATTATACATTATATATCATCAAGGATGTTAATGTATTATTGCAATGCATAGCTCTCACTAAAGTCAGGAGACTGACTGAAAATATGATGGTAGTGCTGTTTCGCGGTGATAGAGAGGAAGTTGCCGAACAATGTAATCTGTCATCACATGAAGTGCTAATGGGCATCGGGTTCAATCTGATAGTTTATACAGTTTCTTTTTCTGGTTGTCTACACGGAAATGTGTTCGCATATCTTTAGATGTGATGTTAGCATCTGGTAGGGATCGTATGCTGTTTTCTCGATTGCCTTTCTCGATGAAGCTAGGTGATTCGTTCACCATCAGCGAATTCTACTGATGAACATCAAAGGTATTGTGCAAACGATACAAAGTAAGTTGATTGATAAGTTGTGGAGGAAAATCGCACAACATAGAAGAAATTTACTTGAATCTGGTTGCACTCTGAGCAGAAATTGTGTACATAAACGAGTTCTTGGCTACTTTTGAAGCCCAAAATCATTCTGATCCTTTTTGATAACATTGCTTTCATAGAGTGCTAAGCACTACATAGCAATTTTCTCTGGATGCGTCTCGCGCACCAGTCTAGAATTGAGTACAGTGACATATTTTTGAAGAGAATCCTAGGTAACCCCTTCTTTGTAAATTGCATTAAGACTAACGCCTGTTCAAGCGTCGAATCATTGTGCAGCTACCGCTTCAAATTGAAGATTGGTCAAATGACCATCTTCAGGTCATATGTGAACTCCGAGCCAACTTTGGCGAACGATCCTAGCTGTAACAGCTCGACAAGCATAGCTCCACAAACAAAGCAGCTATACCGTCTGCGCCCCAGAGAGGTTCCCATATGAACCAGCGTGCGTACGTGGTGCGACGCTGCCTTTCGCTCTTTCTGACACCTTCCTCCTGAGATTTCAACGGAAGGCCAGGTTAACACATTCAAAAGACTATGGGAATCTTGCTGGGGAACGAACGATACATAAGAATTCCACGATTAACACATTCAAAAGACTATGGGAATCTTGCTGGGGAACGAACGATACATAAGAATTCCACGATTAACACATTCAAAAGACTATGGGAATCTTGCTGGGGAACGAACGATACATAAGAATTCCACGAAAGCAATTCTTCAAATAAGTGTAGGGCATATCCAATGTCAGCTTGATCATGTAAGTGTGGAAACGAACAATAGAATATAGCGTACATTGGAATCACTTACTTTTATGGAGTTCAAAAAGTGTTGAAGGATGATGTTGGAAGAGGAAGCAATCGTAACAGTGATTAATACACTGGTGTAATTTGTTGCGTTACATACTTCAACAACTTTCTCTAGTTTACCGGATAACATGTACCTAGCCATCTCTTCCTCAGTCAATCTCATGACTCGTACTAGTAGCCGTGCAACAGTCATACATCAGCAGCCTTTCATCACCGGTGACACTCCTTTTCAGATGCACAAGTATTTAGAGATAGTGCGCTCCAGTTGAGAAGAGGTGCTCTAATCGAAATGGCGATGGAGCGCACCTGCAACTCCTCCCAGGTCCGAGCACTTTTACGGGCGTTCCCAGACATCCAGTTCATGCGCTTCACTTCTTGGCTATGGTCAAATCGCTGAAATGACCAATAGCGAACGGCTGAACCACAACGAACCGGTTGAACCGATCAAGTTTGGCGTTTGCCTTTGACTGTTCACCAATGCAGATTCTAATAGTACAGCCCTTCTCTTTGTTTGTGCAATCGTCTTCTGTCTTCTTGGTTTCGGGATCGGCCATACTATTCCTGCTATTCCTACGACTCCTGCGATTCCTGGGAGTCCCGCACAGTAGACGCCGCTTAAATGAGCGCGTATTGCGTAAAACAACACGTAACACGCAACACGCGCTCATTCAAGCGGCGTCTAAACTGTGCGGGACTCACAGGAATCGCAGGAATCGTAGGAATAGCAGGAGTAGTATGGCCGATCCCTTCCTGTTCTTTCTAACCTGAATGTGATTCCACGCCATGGCCTCCACTACAGTGGTAAAGGTCGTGCAATCACAAAGACCTACTGTTGAGACAAAAAGGACTGTAGAACAAATTGATCTCGCACGGAGATTTAGGTTCATGCGGAAAATGAAAAAAGAGAGTGGCGTACTCGATTTCTAACCTGCCGATAGACCAGCCCTCTCCATTAACCTGGCTGTGAATGATGGGAAATCGAGGCAAAACTAATTTCAAATTTGATACAAGGGACTACTTCACACCTGGTGCAATAATGTGTAGAGTTTTTTATACATGCCTCCAAGTACTGTCCACAGTACAAACAAACAAACGGCAGTATCATGGTCATAGTCTCATAATCTCTTTTGAGAGAGGTAAGCGGAGTACAACAGAATAGAAGGTATTTGCAAAGTATTATCACTTTTTTGACTAATTTTCAACAGAATGGGTGATAGCACAATCACTGCTGTATGAGGCAGTTTTTCTTAAGTTTCTTCTTCTGGTTCTGTAGATAACTTGATCGTTCTATGACTCTCTAACACATCTTTTAGTCGAGGCAGTAGATACATGCGAACTATGAACTGTGGAGCGATTGAAGATAATGCTTCCAATTCAAGTTTGGAACGCAGGGAGCAGAGTATATCTAACTAAAGCGATATTTTCAATTAGAAAAAGGTGATACATGAAGATGTAGAAGAGACCTCTACGACCACGTTCTGCTCACCGAGAGCTTGTGCTCTCCGTCGAAGTTTCCTGATCTTCACAAAGTCACGATTGCTAAGCTTGATATATTGGTTGCTAGCAACTGGTAGGTTGTGGACTTCGGACGGCTTAAAACTAAACAGTAAAACTGTTAGCGTCAATGACTATCAATGCTAGCAGACTCACCCTAACCACTGGATTTGTTTCACATAGCAATCCTGCCCTTCAATGTTTTCCAAGATTGAGCCGTACTTGTAAGTCAGCATTATCTCAATGCCCAAAAAAAAACAAATCTTGACAATTTCATGGAAGCTGCTCAAATCAATCTACCATGCGGATCACTGTCGAATAGCCCGTACAAAGGAACTGACAATTGGTCCACTAGCCATCGCATCATTTTCCGAGTGCAAAGGTCTGGATAGCCTCTGCCCTTAATCATCTACGCTTAGGTTAAAGAGTTCGTGGAGGAAAAGAGCGCAAGTACCGTTACCAGTATACTCCCGGGAAAACATTCGAAGAAACCATCATCAATCATTTTCTGGAAGGCAGCGTCTTTCTCCACAACCACGATGAATTCGGCCCCATTGAGAACGCGGCACTTCAAGAGTGTCTCTCCAATTGCATTTGGACAGTAAGAAGCTAATCTAATTTTGAATCTTTTACTGAGCCTTGAATTCGGGCTTGAGGAAAATAGTGCATTGCCAAGCGCTGACAGCAGCGGCTGGCGACTGCTATCGTTCGTTCTTCTAGCAGCCGTGATGTGTTTTTTTGGTGTCGTTTTCGCCCGTTACCATGCGAAAACGACACCAAAAAAGTCCACGCGCTGGAAGGCGAACTTCTATACATTCCGCACATCCTTTCCGCCTAATGCGCTCACAAGTATTGGACCTTCCACACGCTACCATGGGTTGCTTTCGTGGCAATACACCTTCCTGCTGTCGCGTACATTTTTGCGACGCCTTTCGTACTGAGTTGACACTATGACACCACCCCAAGGGCATTCTACTGACATCGCCCTTTCAGTCATACCACTACAATCAAAAAAATTTCACAATTTTATCAAAATGACATACCAGATATCAATACTTGCTGATGTCTGCAGTCAATAAGCCTTTGTTCCTTTGTGAGGAAGGCAATCGCTCCAGAAAGAAGTCCTTTGCTGCTTGATATCTAAAATGGTCCTGAGAAAATCCATAAGTTAGACCTTTCGCCAAGGTTGCTGCTATTTGCCAGTGTTGTTTGAGTAGATGAGGTTGCTAGGTTGGCGCTGTTGACGCGGCTGCCAATAGCAAAAGATGGCAAACAAATCAGAATGGCGTGCCGATAGAAACACACAAAATGCAATTAATTAGGGTGTCAGCATACGCGAGCGGCGCTTCGAGATCGGCAACCTCGGCAACCCTGTACACTGGCAACATCGACAACCCGCAACAGTTGCCGGCAACCTATGGGCGAGCCCTTGGGAAGACAGACCTACAGACATCTACGTGACATTCACATGCAACACCTAAGAATTCCATGTTGAAAAAGAAACTGGTAGCTGGATTTGGAACTGCCAACTACACAAAAGCAGAATACATGACATAATCTAGAATCAATCCTATCAAATGGTGATAAAGAGTGCAGCCAGGATAGTGGCAGTATTGATCAAAGGCCTTACCCAAGTCATCGCCCTTACGGTAGCTCATTTGCTCATGGGGGAGCGTTTCAGTTCCGAACTCTCGCATAAAACCGTTAGGTGAACCAAGTTGGTACCACTACATTAGCGATCGTTTATTGGATACATAGGAAAGCAGCCAATGTCTATCAACAAGGAATTCGCGGACGACAGCGAACGGGAGGGTGCTAGTCGAATCAAGCCTAGAATTGAGAGTTCAAGCCCTAATATGCTATATTCGTTCGTAGCACGCAAAGACTGCGGACTTATCGGTGTCTCTCTGATCGCGCGATCTTTCGTTTCTCTAAGCACCTGCTGTCCCTCCCATGCACGAACTATCTTGACCGGACGCGGCGGCGCCCAGTCTTCGCGTGCTATGAATCGTGTATACATAGTGATTTAGGCGTGGACAACCACGACTACAGAGTTCGTTCTTGCTTTGAATCACCCGACTTTGTCATGTATTCTATGCCGGATTTTGGTTAAGGACGGTCTGGCTGCAGCGGTAGTGTGCGAGAGTTTAGTTTTTACGGCCAAAAATAAATTATATGAGCTTGCATAAGCTATGGCTTAGTTAAGACTTGGAAGATATTCAGATAAAACAACTACTTACAATTAGATTAGTTGAAAACTGTTCTCTGAAGCATTAGAGATGAATCCGGAAACTGATAGAGAACTCACAATATTCAAATTTACACGAGGTTCCTTCAGAAGTTCACATATAGCAGTGATTGCACGGTCAAGGTTGCACTGAGTTCCATACAATTTTTTGTTGTCATAGAACACATCACTAAAATGGAATATAGAATATCAAAATTGAGAGAAACACATACCGCTTTGTAGATAGTTGGCCGTTGGTGACAAGTTGAAAAATCCGCGCCATACACTGCATAATATAGGCTAGTCGCTTGTCATTGCGTGATACTATGTGTATTTGCTTCTCTGCATCATCACTGCTGCTGAATTTTATTGGTACATTGGACTGAATTATGAAGATGAATTAGAGAACTTACGCTCGCAAAGAAATTCTAGCTGGGGGTGTACTGGCACATATTTGGCGCACAAGGTCCACGACCAGAAATTCGATTTTACTCAATATTTGCTGTCGTTTGCGTGCTCGGTTTTCGTTTTCATTCGTGTCCAGAGAAACAGCTGCCATGGCTGCGACTCGACTCTCAAATACATTGATTGTGCAGCCTGTATCAGCCGGGACTTTATTTGAATTCAGAGGAATCAACACATTTCCGACCGACGACAGAGTGCACTGAGAACATCTGAACGCTGAGTGGATTCGTAGCAAAGCAAAACGTCCCCAAGAAAGACTGCTACCGGGTGGGCCGGCTGAAAAATTCTTGACGGTGTCGATGGCTGCATCCACAAGTTCCAGGTGCGAAAAAAATACCCAGCTATCGCACCTGGGACTCGTGGACGTAGCCACCGACAAAGCCAAGGAGATCTTGGATGTCTAAAGTAAGGGACAGGGGCCACTGATAACTTCTGCTGTGGTGGGGAGACAGCCATCTAATATAACCTAAGACGATCAGAACTCTGATCTGGTAACAGTCTGATCCCCCAAGCACTGCAAGTGTTTGAACGCAATCATTTGCCTCTCAAATATGAAAATGATTGTGCTTTACCTCCCCAATGCCTACTAAGACGCGCATACTTTACTCTGAAGTTGACCTCACCCAAACGGACTTACTACCTAGCTACGCCCAGTACACCAGGATATACCACAAATAGAGCCACTAAGAATTGAAGGATACTCAAAATCACTGCCGACCGCTGCCGCACACGGATCTTTACCCCTTCCAGTCGTCAGCCCATGTTACTTCTGCAATAAGTTTTGAATGAAGCAGCATCCACCAACGCTTTCTACAAACTCTGCACAGAAGGGATACTCTTGATACTTTGGAGCCAACTAACAAAAGAGCTGTACTGTAAGAGATCGGCCATACTATTCCTGCTATTCCTACGACTCCTGCGATTCCTGTGAGTCCCGCACAGTTTAGACGCCGCTTAAATGAGCGCGTGTTGCGTGTTACGTGTTGTTTTACGCAACACGCGCTCATTTAAGCGGCGTCTAAACTGTGCGGGACTCACAGGAATCGCAGGATTCGCAGGAGTCGTAGGAATAGCAGGAATAGTATGGCCGATCCCTAACTGATACTACCGTAACCGCAAATTCAGAACAAAATATGAAGCGTAGAACAAGCGGCATGTTGTGTGCATGCAACCGCACGCGGACTTACGCCTAAAGATTTGAAACTTGCACTTCTTGATTCTGAAACGGACCGTTATTAGATCTCATTTGAGTCCATTTGAAGGTAGCACAAAATGCAAGTTTGTTTGGTTATCTAATGCATCGTTTGGTACTTTCCCGTGTGATTCGGTTTGAGGTTCATGTGGCTTCCAAGTTTTAGATGGCTTTTTCTTTCTCTTCGTATATCAGTTGACTTTTGAATAGTCTTCACTTGCACACTTTGATCTGAACATTTGACTTGAATGAAAGCTCGTCCAAGCATCTTTAAACGATAGTCTTCTGACGCCGCAGTCGGTGTGTAGCTCGACTATACATCTGGAAATTACTTTGTCATTTGGAAGTGCTGAGGACCTCAAACTACCACAAGCTTCGAAAATCCTGATATCGTTGTACTCGCTTCCTGTCTATACATTAAACAATTCTGACATTTTGCCAGATCTTGCAGAGTGCATGTTGAAACGGTTGCTTCAGAGGGTCGTAGCACTGATGACGAAAACTGTAGATGTTGCGGAGTCAAAAGCTGAATCAGTTTTGCATTCGGTTCATTCTGGACAAGTCAAGAAAGCACAAACTGGGGCTCATGACGGCGAGACTAAAATCCGCATAAAAAAGGCTAAATATGCTATGTTGTTGGCTTACCAGGGAAGGGAATACTTTGGGATGCAGGTAATTGCACACTGCTATCAAACTTTACAAGAAAATTTTTTTGTTACAGATACAAAAGGGTCATCCTACAGTTGAAGGTAAACTGATTGATGCAATGCACAAGTTGGGCTGGATTACCGAGCAAATGAAAGAACAGCCTGCACTGTTTCATTTCCAAAGGGCTGCACGCACGGATCGCGCCGTCTCTGCAGTTAGGCAGGTGTGGGCGAATTATGAGCATACTAAATGAGAAGTGATTCAAATCAGACAAAACTTTACAAAAGTTGAAAGTTTCCATGAACATTCTGGGGTAATGCTAAAGTTAATTGAGTTGTGAAGTCCAGCATGTACCAAAGACTGAATTTTCATACTCTGTTCGGGGCTTGAACTAGACCTAAAGTTATGCATATCCATCTTTCAGATATGTGGTATGGAACTCCCAAAACGTGACGATTATCCTTCTACTGGTGCTAATGAACTAAATAATATCCTCCCAAATGATATACGGGTTATAGGTATGATATGATTTGTATGTACTGGCTCCTTTGTTTGTTTCCTCTGTTAAGGTTCATTTTGTTTCCTTAAACATTTACTCTTCATGAAGTTTTTTCAAATTTACATGTGAGCTAGACTTGGTCAAAATCTCTAGCACTTCTTTTTTAGGTATGCGTCGTGCAACAAATGCGTTTCATCCTCAGAAACAGTGCTGCGCTCGAACGTATAGCTACACTTTACCAACATTTGCGTTTGCAAAACCCACAGAGGTTCTTTGAATTTGACTGATTGCCTGTTAACATATGAACATATTTATACTGCATATATTTGGAACTTTTCTAGCTTACAAATACGGCGTTTCGAATAAAGAAGGAGACATTAGATGAGGTGCGAGATCTACTCAGTATATACAAAGGCACACATAATTTTTTCAACTACACATCAAGGAGGTGAGCTCTAACCTGCTTGTTTTCTAACCTTTTTTCTTCATCACTTTTCCGTCATACATCACCATGCTTTTCATAGTGGTGCCGAAGGTTTACATGTTTAGATGGCATGCATGGAAATAGGTCACGCCCTTTTCTTTTATAGTTAGTGCAGGGCGTCGTACGCACATCTCCCTTGTTTGGGAACTTCGAGACCGCGCCGATTGCCGCTATTGCAGCCGAAGCGCAGTGGGTCAAGCCATTGTCTTCTTGGCGCGCATGTGGCGCAAAAACTCATGAAATCAGCTAATTTCTCTGTTTTTTAGCTTTTCAAATTTGTCTGTTATAGGCTGGTTTCCAGATACGAGTTTCTGAACATTACTTGCTCAAACACTTGAAACATCACCGTTAAATGCACATGCGCTGAGTATCGCCTACATTGAGCTGGAGTTTACAGTGACTCGTTCATTCCTTTTTTCCACTTTTTGTTGATCTCAGGTTTTGTGCTTTTTGTGAATGGCAGTTTGAAATCCATGATGAGGCATGGACGCAAGCATGGAAAACCGCAACACTTACAACGTATGTAAAATATGAGCGTAAATACGTTGATTACTTCGTATGTTTCTTGCTACCTACCTTTTTGTTTAATGGTAAGTTCAGGCTTCATATTTGATGTGAGTGATGCGGTTTCTCCATGCTTACTCCAAGCATCATCATGGATTTGCATAAATGCGCTTCAATATTGCACTCAGCTTTTCAACCGCATCAGTCACAAAAGCATGGAGCTTGAGCATAACAAAAGTTGAAAAAAAAAACGCAATGAGCAATTCGCTCTGTGAACTCCAGCTGAACGTAGGCAATGCGTAGCGCATCTGCACTCAACGGTGATGTTTCAAGCCTTCAAGCAACCATTGTCCAAAAACTCGTACCTGGAAACCAGTCCATGACACATATCAACAAACAGATATGGAAAAAAATAGGTTGATCAATGAGTTTTCGCGCCACAAGCGCGCCGGTGAGACATTGGCTTGAGCTACTGCGCTCCGGCGACTGCAATAGCGGCAACCGGCGCGAAAGCGGCTAACGGCTGCAGAAGCAGCAACCGGCGCGGTCTGAAAGCTCCCTTTCTTTCACGAAATAAGATTATTTTGTCAAAGCCATCTGGAGGACTGTTAGAGAGAATTGAGGGACTAATAGTTCTGCGCAGTTATGCGGAGTTATTTTAGGGATTTTGATGATCGCAGTTGTCATCGCTATATATTGTCGTTCGACTGTGGAGAGCCATTTTTATATCACGACGACTTCCGCAATGAGGATGTAGAATTTGTTCAGCTTACTGTGAAAGGACAGAGTTTTGTTCTGCATCAAATACGAAAAATGGTCGGTCAGTGTATCGCATTTCATTTCGTTGAAGGTTTCAATTCATTATTTTCTACAGGAATGGTTATCACCGTAGTTCGGGAGTTTCAGTATAAAAGCTACATTCAAAGGACGTTTGAGAGTGAGCGGGTAAGATTTCATGCCATTCAAATGTGACTATTTTCCTATTTCGCCATGATTGCCGCGTTTTATTTTATTCTGCTCGCCTTTCCCTTGGCAACTTTTACGGAGCATTGAACGAGTAAGTCATGAGGTTGTTTAGGTGGACGTTCCCAAGGCACCAGGTCTCGGACTTCTATTGGAAAGAGTTCACTACGATTTCTATGACAAAAGGTATTAACATAAGTATGTCAGTTTCCTTTTCTATGTTTGTTGTATACAGGCATGCAAAAACGCACGAGCCGCTGACCGATTGGGGACCCGAAGTAGAAGAACGCATCAGCAAAGTGAAGTTTGATCTCATCACGAAGGAGATACTCGAAACAGAGCTGCGTCATCAGTCGTAAGTCTGTATGCATCAACGCTTTCCAATTAGGCCTAAGGCATACCTCACGCGATTTGGCCAAATCGCCACTTTTACGCGACTTGGCGATTTGCCAGATTTCTACAAATTTATCGTGCGTGCTTCTCGGACGCATAGGCGGGTAGCTTGTGTAAGTTGTTGCAAATGGGTTAAGTTCTGAACAAAGCAGCGCATTAACGACAATTTACGAAGAGTTGCTGTTATGCCAAATCGCGCAGCGACTGGAATCGCGCGAGGTATGACTTAAGCCTTACATGATTCACATTGCAGGATGTTGCAGTGGCTAGCAGATCTTGTACATCATGATTTTTGTGCTGATCCTGAGGCAGAAGAACCTCCGAAGCAAACATTTCTTACAATGGCTGTTGGAAAAGCTGAAGAGGTGGTGGATATTTTGACCATAGACTTTCCAGTCATAAAAGGTGTCGTTAGCTTGGGTTTAGCTTGCTATAGAAGTCCATCTCTAATCAGTCACTCATAACTTTACTGGGCTTCCGTCAATGAGCTGGTCGTTGAACATGGGAAATTCTTTGGTATATAAATGTCAACTTGCCAAGCGATATATTCTCCGCTGGATATAGGGTCGAAAAGTAATAACTGTTGAGCGCTCATACGTTTCTTTGAGGTTCTTTTTAGATGGGTATGCGCATAAAAACTTTGAGGATGATTCAATGCATGGGGCACGCAAAAGCCCATTTATTTTAACCCTCCCATTTATCAGTGCGAATATTTGTTCTTACCTATGCAATCTCTTTTGAACTGGTTAAACAATGTTGTTTATGGATTTCAATTCCAGAAAAGCATGAGACGCCTTATTTTTAGCATCACCTACTAGTTATATGTGGGTAAGCCAACCATACAGTTCCCTGCTGCGTTAAAAAGTTGTTCAGAATTTTTTCATGTTATCATCATTTTTTCTCAATTTTCATTTCTTGATTGGAGTTTGAACGATCTTTAATTCTCTCTTCTTTTTCAAGTGATTTTCATCAAAAATATTCCTTCTGAATGCAGCTTCCAATTGACTCATCTTTTTTGCGATTGTGCAATAGAAAATCGAAATACCAGACATTCGTGAAATAGAAAATCAAAAAACCGGAAATTTTTTTCTTGTGCTCGATTATCGAGTTTAGATATTTTAATGTACTCCGACGTACAAGCGACATCCGATAGAGTAAATCGCTTGATAAAGCCATGAGCAATTCCGGGTAGGATTTGGGACTGGCTTACCAACATTCTCTTTTTGATTTACATTCCGAGTAGGATGAGACACTATATGCACTTGTTATAGGCAGCCAGAGAAGAAAAGGCAAAGTTAGCAGAGGATGCTGCCATTAAGGACGAAAGTGGTGATGTCTTACATAGTTCTAATAATGAGGTTAGCGATCGTACTCAGTCACCAAACCAACGTTCTCTTTGTCTTATCGTTGAAATCATTTTACAGTACAAGTTTTGCCGCCAAGCATCGTAACATATTAACTGCATGCATGCCTCTACTTCCCATCTATTTTTCTTGACAAAAAACTAAGTTTCAAGTGTTTTATCGCAAAAAAATTGCACGTACAGCGAATTCACGCATGCTTTCTTTGGCTCATCTTCAGGAAGTATTTTTTACAACCTGACTGTATATCATGTCCCAGATTACGCCAAACATGGATCTGCATGGCCAGATTTGCACTATGCCACATGGAAACTTATTTTGAGAGCCTAATTAAAGGCACCGTCCACCCAGTTTTCCGACTTGCATGTTTTTGTCGTTTCAGGGCCTTCTCATGTCCCTGATTACGAATATGAAGTCGAGAATGCGCGAAAACCCTGTAAATCCCCGTTCCGGAGAACACACAGGCCGGCTTTCCGGAACGGTCATTGGATAGGCGCGCACAAATGGGCGGGCATGGATGGGGGTTCTCGTGCATTTCGCTATTCCTAAGCGATTTTCTCGCTTCCGAAGCGGCATTTTGCGCCGCGACTTGGGCATTGGATTGATGGGGGGCTCTACCACTATATGCTGTTAGAAGCTCAACACCCTCAACTTAGGGTGGACGGTGCCTTTAAGACACTGCCTGAATCCGCTATTGCAATACCGCGACAGGTGCCTGGACACTGCCTTCAAGCTTTCTTCTTTGGTGAATTGCCCCAAAGTTCTTGTAAAGGCAGTGTCTGGGCAAAATCTGGACATTAGGTCTCTTGCGTGGAAACTTATGGGACCTCCTGATCAGGTAGTGCCCAGACGGCAACGTAAATGAGTCCCTCAAGGCCAAAAACTCATCTTTGAACCCAACATTCCCTTTTGTTACGTACAATCTAGCGCCCGACTAGTATCGCTGCATGCTTTAACGTGACCGTCACCGTCATCATTCGGGCAATTTTGCTGTTGGGGCAATCCATTAGCTTCCATTTGACAAGCCCATATATCCGAATTCAAATGCGTGTTGCTTTCAAATTGCTTTTTTAAGGTTACGCTTGACATCATTGTTACGGCGGAGTCAAATACAGATCAAGTAACATCTACACTTACTACCGTCAGTCAACCCTGATTCTGCATCTGAGGATATTTGCCTTGATAAGGTAGCGCAGCAAACTAGAGATATCAATAAGCGAGTGCACAGTGCACTTTTGTAAAAAAAAATGCTGAATACTAACATATTAAAGGCACGATTTACCCAAACTGAGTTCGGTGAAATTTTGAAGCATCATAATGACGAAAATCTCAGTCTATACAACAAAGTGCTATATTGGTCTCCACGAAGTAGTTCGGAGCGACCTCAGAAGGTGCAAGCGGCCAAGATGGCTCCGCTCAATGTGGTTGATCCGAAGAAAGCAAGTCCAGAATCATGCTTCAATGGTACAAAATTGACGAGGATCTGATAATCAGAACTGAAAATTACGATTTTGGGTAAAATAGTGCCGAATTTTAGACTCGTTATCTTCGTCCCCCACATTGGTGGGCGGAGCGAACAGGCTGCCTCTACCCTCTGGAGCGATTTTCTTCTCATTCCGCTCCATAGGGAGTTGAGCGATTATCTAGAGCCCTAATATAGTAGCGCATCAAAGCTTCACTAACCTCAGTTCAGGTTGTCGGTGCTTTCAAACATATTGTAGATAGGAACTTGATCATCATTCTCACTTACAAGGGAAGTGTCAGAACCCGCAGTGGCCTTTTGACATGAAATAAGTATCATCTGAAGCAGCTTGAAATGCTGATTCCAAAACAGCCTTTCTTAGCTGCAGAACTAATCTAAAACGAGAGTTATTGAATTAAATTTGCGGGAAATTTACAACGCTGAGAATAGCCAAAAATTAAAGCGAACATTTTTTTTGGGCTCAAACATAGATGAAACAGTCCATCAATGTTTAACATAATCTTACGCCTTCATCAAAGTCATGCTGTGGTGCTTAAACAAGCATTTGAAAAGTTCCCGTGATCACAGAGTACTTCAAACAATGTAAAATTTAATGTTTAAAATGCCCATAACTCGCGACCCAGATTAGTTCTGCAGCTAAGAAAGTTTGTTTTGGAATCAGCATTTCAAGCTGTTTAAGATGATACCCATCCCATGTCAAAAGGCCACTGCGACTTCTGACACTTCCCTTGTTAGTTGTATCTCTTCAGTAGTTCTACTAAATTGAGTGGTACATGAATCTGATTATCATAGGAATTCTCGACAGTGTCACATCTCTAGCCCCCAGTCCTCGTGACCTCGCTCACGCCTTACGCGTTCGGGCTCATGTTTTCTGACCAAGTTACCTATCTGGGAGCGACTGAAGGCAGGCACGCCATACTACCCCATTTACTAAAGTGGTGCAAGGCGCGGGTAGGCCGCAAGTCGCTGGAACTGTAACATTGTCATTGAGATAGCCTGTAGCTCAGAAAGATACAAGTTTAAACAGTCACTTCGTTAAAATTTTATCATGATTGCTGTCACATGATGTATCATTGTTATGTCTTGTTGTTTCTGTTATATCCTTGTTTTTGTTACTTTTGATTTATATTGCTGATTATTAGTTAAACGAAAAATTTGTGCTCAATATATATTTTCGCAAGAGATTCTCAGGCAATGTTTAAAAAGAGGTAACCGTATACAAACCAGGCTAACGATGGGCATAATTTAAGTGAAATATACGGTAAGAAATAAGTAGTGGATTCTATAATAGTGCTGCAATGTCACAGTTGTCCTTTTCTCAAAAATTTGCCAAGACTAGATCCTTCAGTGAGCAAACTCCTGATTACATACACCTGTAATAGAAGAAGATTTCAGTCGAGAAATATATATATTTAGTACCGTCGCACCTGTGTAATCGCAGAAATCACCATAACACATGTATTTAGTGTTCCATACCAGTTTACTTTTTCAAAGTTCTGCTCAGCAATTGTGCGGTCCTAAATATCATAAGTGTGTATAGTATGGCTTTGATTTACATCACTTACAGCAAGACTGGTTGTACGCAACACGTTCATCTCGTTTTCAGCCCTATTTAAGTTGGCCTTCACCCGACGAGTGGAAGCCTGGAAAAGAAATTTTTAACCTGATTTTTTGATAAACTAAATAGCGTCCAACCTCGAAAACTTCTAGCTCGATGTTTAATGCATTAGTCGGTGACAAAGTGGCTTGCTCGCCAATGTATTCGCCTTTCTCGTCCAGGAGATAGATGGCTAGTGCAACCTAAACTTTGACGTAGTGAACAGGCGTACAATGGTACAACTATCGTATTGTACTGTCGATTCGTTGACCGCACGAACTGACCGTAGATTGCGGAGCACGCGCCGCGTGGCCAAACGTTTGCACCGGTAAAAGTCGCTATTGTACAAGCCGCATTCAATGGCCCTGTACCCGTGCAAACGTTTGGCTGCGACGCGCGTGCTCCGCAAACTACGACCACTCTGTGCGGTCGACGACCCGACAGTACAGTTATTTACCACTTTGGTGTCGTAACTGTAACTGTTGTCCAGACATATGGTATAGTCGCCACGAGAACCATCAGAGTCACCAATGACGACACTATAAGTTTGGTAAAAGGTTGCCGATAAAGTGCGAAAGCTGAAACTTACCGGTGACTATGGTAGTTGATTCTTTGATCAGAGATCACTTCCACTGCCCTTGGATCTCGCAAAGTCACAGTGATGTCTCTGTTCCCACCAGATCCTTTGACTACCTGCACTGGTCAGTTTTATGCAATAAGATATTGCGAAGCTCCCCCCTCGTGGAGATGGATTTGATTACTTCAAAAATAGAAATATTGTGCAATACCAGCAGTCTCTTATCAGCACTACTCCGGAAACGAATTGAAATTCAAGCTCTCAGCTATCTTTCTTAACTTTTTTTGCCATAACGTAGCCGAGCACATTGAATTTTTCAATTGTTACTTACCCGGTAGTTGAGCTCCAATGACCTATAGGTCGGCTTCACAATTGGGATAAAGAAACATTCTACCTGAAAATGAAAAGGTCAAGTAACTTCAGCAAATTATTCAGTATCCATGCGTATCGCTTTCCCCATTTAACCTTTGAAATGTTCAACATGCCTACCGCATAAACTTTTTTTTTCTGATAAAAGTCTTTTCAATAAAATTAGTTCCAAAGTTTCGATACGCCAATAAAATCCATCTTACAGATTGCCTATGACTGCACAGCTCCTGTAATGGAGACACTCTGCTACCTACCCGTTCAAAAACAGCGTCCCGGCAGAAATTTAATACTCAACATCGATATTAGAATTAGAATTCACCCAGTTCTAAGTAACCAACATGGGCTCTCTGATTTGTAGAGAGGAGGATCACACTGCAGATAACATAAACTTGCAAAAGCACTGTCCACCGAAAATGAGGATGGCGCGACGATGAGGTACCCTTTAATTCAATTGGCTTGGCGCCTGGAAGGCGCGGCTTCGTGACCTAGTTGAGGCTAGATAATTACCAGAGAACAAGCGCGCGAGAGAGAGACTCGTCGCGGGCGCGAGCGGCCTTAATTAGGTTACAAAGCCCCTCTTTCAGAACCAAGCCAGTTGAATCAAAGGCTACGACAAGGGGCTACGAAATAAATGGTAGCCCAAGTTCGCTGCAAAAGATTATTCAGAAACAGAATCGCTTCAGAAGCTAGAAGAGGCGGTGACGACTACGTCCATCAAAGTGGGTGTTCTGAAGATTAAGTCCGAGGATGGGCTGAGTACGCAACAGTGGCGGACGAGGAAGGAATGGGTAATTTCGAAAATTACTTGCATGAGTTATAAATTTGTGCAAGTGACCTACTCATTTGTAAACAATTAAAATATCAAAAACTTCTAAAAATCCAAGTAAGTTTTTGTAAAAAAAATTTTTTTTGTTCTTAAGCTACGAACTATGGATGCGCAAAAATCTAAAGAAGTTTCCAAAAATTCTCCGAATGCGTGGCTAACCGCACCTATATTCAAAAAAAAAGTTTTGCTGATTCCTTTCCCCCCCCCCCCCCCCCAGTCGGAGTGCCACTGATACCTAGAAATGTGGAAATTTGTCAGAATGAAACTCGGATACTCGACAATTCTGAATATATCAAACGCAATTTTGAACCTGATGTTTTCACAAGACGTTAATGGATGAAGTCACCAACGCCGCTCCTAACTTATTCATTTCCCTGCTTCCAAACTCATCTGCTATGATGATGGGTTTTGATGGTTGAGCGATTAATTAGCTAGGGAAACCGCAGAGCCGTAACTACATCGAAACAAATCTCATCACCCTAAACGTGTATGTAAGTAGCCTGCCCTAACTCTGCTAAAACCTGCAGTAGACTGGGCCCATCCGAATCAGTCTTAAATGCCTTTTACGTAAATCCCAAGTTTTCCCAAACCGCATAAAACTGCAATTTTATCGTAGACGCAAAAAACAGATCAAACTTAGTTCCAAAATGCGCGCTTCAACTCTGCTGAGCAAATAATTTGATTAGCTTTCTCATAGCGCTCTTCCAAAAAGTCTGTTACATGGTAACAAGCTCATCGCCTGCAACTAGCGGTTCAAAAACCCAACTACTCGAATTGCCTATACGTCCTGATGAAAAAAAGCAGGCGCAGATTATCACATTCCATACAGTATTACCTTAATTTCACAAGACGCGCCGAGTTGTTTTCTAAACTCGACCGCCTGACCGCAATAAAAAATATCGCGGCCAAAGGACTCTGTACCGTTCTGCTGTTTAGCTATAAGAACTCAGGGGAGAGCAACCACTTTGCGAAGTACAGTAATGCGGCCCAGTTGTTTGTTTGGAAAAAGAAGGTGCGCCTTGTAATCATGAACTTAGGTTGATTGACATCTAGGCGTCTATTGTTAGTTTAGTCGCAAACTACATAAGCACTGCGGTTGTAAGCGCAAGAGAACAAAGAGACACTTCTAAAATGCGCGCTTTTCGCTTCCGCTCTCATGAGCGAAATAAGCTATGGGCTTTTTCAAAGCCTTCTTCTATAAAGTGTGCCTGTGTTAGATTGTATTTCCGAATACTTGTAAAACTCCTTTCAATGCCTTGATCGGTTTACGCTTCAAGAGAGCTGCAAGTTTCGCTGCAGATGTTACTGACAAGCTTGTTTCAGTCCGCATCTCATTCCCCGCCATCCATCATCATACGCAGAAGAGGATCGACTTGCAATGTCCACTAATGCAGGAAATTCCAAGCACAAAAAGCACCACAGAGCTTTCATCTGGTAAATTTGGGAAAATCTCCTGGGGTTGTTAATAAGGAGATTTACGTCTTTAAGACCTTATTCGCAAAAATTTTTTGAGAGATTCGAATTATCGGCTATCTCTACCTTGAAAATGCCCCATTTTTCTGAATAGCATGAAATGAGCAAAATTCTATTGCAACTGTTGCTTGGTCAATGACTCGCACACCTTTTGAGCCCATCATTCCGGGCGACACAATTCTCATAAAATCGACGCCACCTGCGAAAAGAGCCGTCAGAGGCTAGTTTGACTGCTTATTTTCTGATGTACCGCATAATTCAAGCGCTGCTGCGAATATAGTCGTCGGACACATTATTTATACCGGTAATGAACTAGACAGCGTTCTTTGTTGAAACCGGTGGCAGGAACGAAGGTAGTGGAACTTTCGCTTTCAAAGCTTTCTTTGTGTTGAACAAACAGGTTTTGACACCGACAAAAATTAGAAGCAACATGCAAATGCTTGGTTTCCTCTACAGAAACTACAAAGATTTTTCTCGTCAAAATACAACCGAGCGCCAAATAAAAGCTAACAGCACAAGATAGGCAACTGAAAAGGATTGTAGCTATAACCTCAATGCCGTCTGCAGAAGAAAGAACTCACAAGGAGAGGATACTTAGTCGAAAGCGCCAATTTAGATGAGACATATATCATCTTAAAGCGCTTGAAACATTGATTCCAAATCTGCAGCTTCTAGCTACGGAACGGTTTTGTAGAGGGAGTTATGAGTGGTGTTTCCCTCTGGAATCGAGGCGTCCTCCACTATTTCCTCCCTACTATAAGCACTGCAGAGGAGTACAACTGGTGGCAACTGGCCTAGTGGTAAGTAATTTGCTTGATAAGGGGTATGTCAAGGTTTTAATCTCCTTCGCATGCAACTTTATCGCAGTTTTGCAAAATTGAGCTTCTAAATGGTTTTAAAGCTCTAAAGCTTGAAATTTTTGATGATATTGATGCTATAGAAGTGTTAAAAAGCCAAAGTAATACGAGTATTATGGTCCTTACTGTAATCTTCATTCAAGTTACTTACCATGAGGCCAGTTGCCACCAGTTGGTAGTCCTCTACAGTGCTTATAGGTAGGGAGACATGGTGGAGGGCGCTCGACCCTAAAGAGAAACACCGCTCATAACTCCCTCTACAAAACCGCTCCGCAGCTAGATACTGCAGATTTGGAATCAGCGTTTCAAGCGCTTTAAGATGACATATGTCTCATTTGGATTGGTGCTTTCGACTAAGTATCCTCTCCTTGTCAGAGAAAACGAAAAAAAAAAGAAAAAAGAAAGAAAGATGCGAAGAGAGAGAGAGAGAGAGAGAGAGAGTGAAAGGCTGTACATGAGAAAAACCATGGCTTAGAAGAACACTATGAGCATTTTAGCAGTTTCGGGTGTTAGCAAGTTGTCAAATCATACCGAATTTTCCTAAAAGAAGTAGCCCTTACAAATGGACGGTCAAGGTTTGTTCATATTATTATCACCAATTTCTAGAACAGTCGATAAACATTTACCTTGCCGGATGGCACTTGGACATTCAAAGCTATTTCTTCTTCCGAAATGAGAGCCCAAGCATGTGGTAATGCAATCAGGTAGACAAAAAACTGGATAGTCGTTCGCATTTGAAAAGCGTTAGAGGGGAGATTTGCACAAAAAAATCAGTCTGCCAGACGTTACGGTATGGTGAATAACACGACCTGAAAACTGGAATAGTGACAATAAGATCTTTACTTCTCGAAAGGCACGGAGTCATCACAACATATGCGTAAATACACAAGCAAACAAGATTATGCGATACATTGCACAACACATAGATATTATGATAAATAAATTATCTGAGTTTCATCAAGCATGGAAGCATAGAATTATGCTATATGAGTATTCAAAAGTAGTTTAATAGACTAGTACCCGGATTTTCCACTTCTTATGAGGCGCCCTAGCTTAGAGTTGTCTTCAAACATACTTCGGATCATGTAGACCTAGAAGAGATAAGAAGAAGTGTCTTTTCTTTGTTGGCTACCGACTGCTGACAAATGAACTAACCTGCAATGCACCAACACCTAAGAGAACTAGAGTATGCGCACAGCTCCAGAATGTTACTCGATCCAAATTAGCCACCATGATAGCACGATCGCGAGCTTCATGAGCTCGTAGAAGAGCCTAGATTATATAAAGTGAGCGCCTCTACAAAGTTTGCAGTTCAGTGCATGTCGCAGTCAATACCATAGCTGAAGTAGAGGTCACAAAAGGAAAGAAAATTTGTTTAACTCTGCAAATTTAGGCATACATTTCCTCTACTTCCAATATGGATCTATGATCGGCCAGATACGTGTGGAAGCGGGTTGCGGAATTCCCTAATTTCAAAGATAAGCTTGACGAGAGAGTGCGAAATACAATGCTATAACGTGGAGGTTTAACAAGGAAAATCAGGGAAGTCCGCAACCCGCCTCCACACGAATCTTGGAGCCGATGATACTTCAAACACAAGACCTCACTAAAAAGTTGTGATGATCAAAAACTTGCGGCTTTCAATCCAAATCAAAAAAGATGCTACTCACATCCTCAAATTTACCATGAAACGTGTTGGTACTGCAACAAGGCAAACCCCAAAAGTAGTGAGAGGCACCTTTCGTTAGGTCCCGGCCACACTTCGCTCAAAAGCGCCCAAATTTCTCTGATCTCTCTCATCTCTCCTCACACGAGAAAATGAAGAGACGTTAGAGAAAACTGGGCGCTTTTGAGCGCTTTTGAGCGAAGTCTGGCCAGGTCTCCTTAGAGCAAAGCAAGCTCTAAAAGACGGTGTTCATACTTCTGCACCAAATTCAATCTACATTATGTTGGAATTCCGAAAATAAAAAGTTCTGAATGCCAGATATTCCAAAAAAGTTGGATTTCGAAAACCTACACAACCTTCTTCGTGCACTTATATACTCTCCACATAAGACATTCATATGTAAGATTCTGTGCTTTTTAATATAAATTGGAAAAAAAGGGTTTTCGACGTTGGACTGTTCAAATATTGGTCTTTGCAGATATAACCGTGGATTTTCTGTCGCAAGTTAGTACTAAAGAGATTTTGAATAGCAAAAAATCTAGGTTGATAAATCTCAAAAACTAGCTTTCAAAGCTTAAAATCTACCAGTGGGAATGTAAGTTTTTGGGTGGAAACTCCAATTTTTTGTGCTCCTCACACTGCTTTGGAGTTGCCTTGTTGCAGTGCGTGATAAGGGTGTAAGCAACATCTCGTCTTTCCAGCCCAATATTAGAAGTGTCTCATAAAAAAAGACTGCAAAACTGAGGTACTGAGGTATTTAGTAGTCTTTTTATGCGCATGCTTTCATCATTATTTACGTAGGGTATTTGTGAGACGACCAAAAATTTTTAAACCGCAGAAGCAAAAAGAAGACACACGTACAAAGTGAAGACCGCATCCTATGTATTGCAACGAAAGCAAATGGTGGAAAAGTCATTAAAAAGTATAAGGTATTTCGCAACCTGATCTGAATTTTAAATATGGGTCGCGCAATGCTGCGTTGATATATCAAATTCCACAAGCATGTACAGAGAAGGCAGAACTCAGAATTTCTATGTTTTAAAACAAAAACACGAACTTCAAGAGCTGCTAAACGGATCAACGAGGTAATTCATTTGCTCAGTTCGTGATATAAAAGACTTGAAAAACGCAAAAGTTGAACTTGTGCAACTTAATTCTGTCGCTGTTTAGTAAAATTTTTAGATAAAGAAAGAATGTCAGGAAAGAAGCGTACATCAAACATGATTTAGGCAAAAGAACAAATATACACTAAGTGAGCAAAAATTGAATGTTATTAGCGAGTAGCACTAACTCTATTGGAGGCAATTACATCACATCATGAAACGCATTGCCGCAATTGATTGAGCGACTGTGATGAATTTGGAACCAGTTTGTCCCGACACCAAACAAAGCTCCAAGGCTGAATGACTAGAGCCCTTACCTGATGATATTCGATCTTGTTCAGCTGAGATTTAATTCGGTTTGCAGAATCCTGGAAATAGACATGTAGGCCAGAGACAGGCAAACTTCGGAATCGTACCATTCAATAACTCACATGGAATCCTACTATGGCCACTCCAATTTCTTCCATTTTCTTCTCAAAATCGACTTTATTCTGTGCCATCCCTTTCAGGTCATGATCATCAGTCTCACCCCTTTCATTCATAAGGTAGATTTCGAAGAATACGACCTAAAATCGCGGAAAACAGGACTATACAGAAATTTAAAAAAAAAATCGAAGGCGATTGAGCGCACGCCTCGGCGAAAAAGGTATGCAAATCTCCCGCCATTTCAAAAAGAAGCCGTACATATGCGTAGAACTAAAAAGCACGTTTGGTTTTGAATTGAAAGAGTGGATGAGACAGATAGCAAGGCCTCCGCCTAGCGAGCATATGAAGCGGAAATATGGTAATGTTAGCCAAATCCATTTCACAATGACTAGCATTCACACCTTCAGAAAGTGTTATACACGCAGCAGGTTGAGTGACTTTGCGTTTTACTCGCATGAATTGGGGTAGTTAGTCACATATAGGTATCAAATATGATTGAGACCACAAACTATCCTCTTATTATAATAGAACGATAACGTGAGAAATACGAACCTTACGAGACTGATAACTGAACGAGTTGTCAAAGCAAACTTGGTAATCGCCAGAAAGCTGTAGATCTAGCCTGAAATAGAGAAGTAAACAGATAAAAATTCTCAAATAATCGTGTCTTCAGAAATTCCCAACTAATCGTTATTATCTTCCATTGCAAGATCACGATAACGCCATGCAAAAGGATTGAGAAAGTTGTTCTTACAGAACTCAGAGGTCGCCCTTAATCAGCAGAGTCAAGATTTGCAGCGCGGAACAAAATCGTGTCAACCACCAGCAATGTCATTTGGGACTGGTTTATGCAATGAAGAACCTAGCTTCAAGTCATTACTTCACTATGTACCCTGAAGTTTAAATGCACCAAATAATAGCGGAAGTCGCAATGATTGTTGAATATGTAGTCTTTATTTATTTATCTATTGAATGCACAAAAAGTGCGCCCATCATAAATAGCAGAAAAACCAAGTAGTAATCAGTAAGGAAAAAGAAAAATGAAACACTAAATCTGGACAAGAACTTGAAAGCAGTACTGGTCAAAAAAAACCTCAAGCAACACTCATTTACATATGAGAAAAATGATACCACCAAACAAAGAATGATATTGAGATTATAGCATCCAAAATTGACTACCTTAGTAACCTTATATCGTTAGTAAAAACAAACCTAAACTAAACCTTAGTAACCTTAGCCTCACCTTATATCCTTAAACCTTATGCCTTACCTTATAGTCGTCAATTTACTCCGCGTTTTCTTTCTACACGAGGTTGCGTAAGTTGAACTTAGGTTAAAAATCGTCATTTGAACAAAAATGAGACCGAACACAAAACATCAATTCAATGACCACTTCTCTTCAACCAGAAAAACGCAGATTCTGAGGTTGCAAGAGCAAAATGTTATTGACTTTTTTTTTTCAATCAGGAGAAAACTCCTCAATGTCATGCGACCAATTCTTGTATTTTTCGAGAAAATGGTGGTTACCTAGTTGAAGATGAAATTTGATAAAATTGTAAGGGAATTAACCACGTCGGACTAAATCTGTTTTTCCTTCTGAACATTGTTATCTCTACCGATATATTCTTATATTCTCTCGAAGCCAAAAGGAAAACCAAGAATTAGTCAGTAAATGAAACGCTTTCGCTCGTCAACCTGCAGCGGTGGACCGAAACCCCCCCCCCCTCCCCGTAGAATAAGTCGCAAAATTTTTGAAAGTTACTCACCATGACATTAAAATGTACAAGTGACCTGTTTATACTTCTAAATGGTTGATTTTTTTAATTTAAAATTTAAACTGTCTTGTGAAAAAATTTTTTCGAGGGCCCCACATGAAAAAATTTTTTCGAGGGCCCCACAAAAATGTAGGGAAGCACCCAAAAACTTTTCGGAGTGCTGGCTGGCGTTACGCACCTTTGTTCGAGAAATACTCTGCTAGTTTCGAAAACTCTCTCAATTTGGGCTACTGGGCCTACGTTCTGTTTCAAATCAAGACACTAAGCATCAGAATTATTCACCATTTGAGCGGCAAGATTATGCTAAAAAGAATTGTCGCACCTGTGACTGCCGTCAGTTTTCATATTCTCTTGGACTAACACATTGGCGCCCATTATGATCATGAAGTTTATGTTCAAGTCTCCTCCATCAATAACCTAAGATATCTGAAGATGAGAAAGCCACCTAGCATAAATAAAGAAAAGGCAACCTGATAATCCACTTCCATGGTCTTATGTTGAGTGGTATCCACAGGCTGGAAAAAGCACTGGAACTTTCCTGGAGGGACTTCGACAGTAAAGTCCATTTCTGCAGCGCTGGCGTAAACAACCAAAAACGGCAGAAAAACTGGAAACCGTACCATTCTGAGTAAACACAGCTGAAATGTAGCATCATGTTGTCACAGCCAAATGAGTATCATGGCGTGGCCAATGAACATCTAATAATGCTGACTAGAAACAAAGTGGTCAGTCTGATGAGAAGCATACAAAATTCCTATGCCAATTTACACGTGAAAGATGTTTCCCCTCAGCTGTAAAGGCACAGTGGTGTCCCAAAAAGGCTTTGCAACTCCACCAGCGCCTTATTTCGTGGATAGTGAGTGTTTTCAAGATTCTTGGCCCCAGTATTTCAGGAAACTGGAATTTGCTAAATCTTGTTGGCAGGGATTTTGACACACTAGTGAACCAAATGATACCCGCACGCTCGGTAGCTCCTTCTGGGAGACTTGGGGGCATCGAAGGGTCGAACTTACAACTATGCTTCAGACTTTACCTCCACCCACCATATATCTTTCTGTTTCAAATTAATACGAACGTATCGCACATCACAATACGATGTTTAGAAGTTCCAGATTCAGAGAAAGTGAAAACTTTGGGAATTAGGTCGCACTTAAGAAAAAGAGAATCAGATGACGGAAACAAGCGCAACTGGACATTGACGCGTCAGCCTAATCCGCGCGCGAACTGCGCGAACTTCCACGAAATTGTGAGAATTGGCAAGAGACCAAAGGCAGCGTGTGCGCAAACGCGAAATTACCGTGGACCACATTGAGCCATGAAGAGATGTGAGTTGCGCACCTAGTTCAAGTTGGTGAATCTTCGAACGGATTTCTCATTATTTCAAGGGGTCATTCAGACCGCGCACAAAGTCGAACAAAGGCGAAGGCGCACGAAGGCGCACAAAGGCGCACGAAGGCTTGTTTTTCAATTCGACCGATTGTGCGCCTTCATGCGCCTTTGTGCGCCTTTGTGCGCGGTCTGAACGATCCGTAAGCAGTAAAATCCTCCAGACCCTACCCTGATGTGAAATTCAAGAGCTTCTCGACTTCTGTGAATTATGGATTCTCGTCGGTATTGGTATGCACGAAGTGCGCTACCGGTATAGTTCTTTGTCCCGCACCAATGTGCTGAGATACTAAGGGTTCAAGGAATGGTCAGAAGTCGAATGGGCTATCCAGACAAGCTGCATATTATTAGGTGCAGGAGGAACCCTGACTTCAATTTTTCTTCCGTATCCGCTGAACGGCAGACGAAGATGTGGGCCGTTCCAGTGCACGAAAATCGTACGTACAATTAATCCGACAAATTGCCTTCTGAGCTCATATTTAGGTTTGGGCCTTTCAGGAAACTTTCCTAGGCCAAATTTGGCCAAGCCCTTAGATTTGACCGTCCATCGTTAGTGATGTTTTACTGCAAAAAGAATGATATTTGTGATCAGCAAGTCGAGTAACTCCGCAGACCAAGCTTGAAGGCACTGTCCACCTTAGGCCTCGGGCAAAGTTCACGCCATGTCATCGCCTCGCGGTTCTCCAAACAAGACAACAGTTGCAAGTCCATTGCAAGCCGATGATCTTGCATTTGTTGTGATAGTTTCACGATTATTCGTTCGGAAAAGTATCACCGAAATGCAAGATAATCGGCATGCAATGGATTCGTAACTGTTGTCTTGTCGGAGAATCGCGAGGCGATGAAATCGCGTGGACCTTGCCCAGGGCCTTAGGGGTTTTGAGCTTTTGACGACATACTATAGTAAAACCCTCTATCAAGCTAATGCCCAAGCTGCGGGCAAAATGTCGCTTCGAAGGCGAGAAAATCGCTCCTGGATAACGAATATGCACGAGGACTCCAGACGGCACTGCCCTCCTTATCCATGCCCATCTAACCACGTTCCGGAAGGCCGGTTTGCGGGTTTTTCGAAACGGGATTATTGGGATTTTCGCGGATTCTCGACTTCATATTCGGAATGGGGGACATGAGAAGGCCTTGGAACGACATACATGTAAAGGGCCGAGCATACTTCATGCGATTTCAGTTGCGACTGACTTGGCAATATTTCAATTGTCCATAACTCATTGTAAGCACACATTTCAAATGTACAGAAGATAGGCTAAATATTTTATCAATCCACGTAAGTTATACTCACTATGCATGTGCATGCTAGTGTTGGATTGGAAGACTTTTGGCGAATTGCCAAGTCGCCTCGCGACTGAAATCGCATGAAGTATGCCCGGCATTTGAGCCGGGATCTGGGTGGCTGGGTCTTCAAGCGAAATTCCTCTAGAATTTCGGGCGTGTACTGGAATAGCGCCTCTTTCTGCATTGAAATCTACCACAGCAAAACCGTGCGGAACTCTTCATTGTAGCCGGCCATATCTTCGTCGAAAGCGTTTGACTGTGATCCATTGGCTGCTGATTGGAAAGCAGCGGGTGGAGGACATTAGGTCGCCGAAAGTGAGGAGGTCCACGCGGATAAGGCAGCAGATACTTAGCCTGTGCATGCATTGGAATGTGTATTTGTTGCAGATGTTCGGCGGGACCGGCGACCTAATGTCCCCCACCCGAAAGCAGCTATTGATGATGCCGATGGTTTTTTGACTTGGAAAGCGAATGTGTATGAGGCTAGTCGAACTTATAGAACCTCATGCGAACCCACAGATGGATGATGAATAGGTGAACAAACGACAAATACAACACTCCCTCTGATAAACTTTTCCACTACAGACATAGGGTCCCAGCACTGAAACCCTCGCACCTTCTTTTTGACCTTCGCCTCCTGCAAAGCGCCGGACTTGGCTGCATTAAACGCGAATTACTTTATGGTCACAAATGACGCGACGTTTCCGTGCGCGAAAATATGCTCTCGCAGCAAAAGCGCTAAGCGATGCGTTGCGCGAAGCCAGCTGCCTCTGAGCTCTCTTCCGATAAACATTTGGAACATTCATCAAACTTTCTCTGTTTCCGCTCTCACTCTTATGTTTGTTCTTCTTTTATGGTTTTGCTCTCACGCAGTAGCTATGACTGCATGAGGGAATAGAGCATCAGCATCTTTAGTATGATGCTTGTGTACTTTAATGTTCAAGTGTACTTTACAGAGTCGGTTGTTCAAAATATATATCTGGAAATGACATGAAGTCGCTCAATGTGTGCTGCGGTGATGTCTATCGTTTTGCCATTCTTCTTTTCACATGTTAGTGCAATCCAAGTAGTCATCTTTCCATCATTCCTAAGTTATTTTAGGTTTATTTTGCACATCACTGGCTGAAGAGATGACAAACTCGAGCGTTTTTGACGCTTATGAGGGTACCGTTTCTCCACTGTTGTTGAATAACATATCGAATACTGTCTCTCCGTTGATAGTTGAAAGAATCGCACGAGGAAAGACGATTTTGCAAAAGCTGAAATCACATATATTTGGTAAGTATTCCTTATACGTGTTTTATCGACTATTTTCAACTCTCAGTTTATAGGCCCTGATGAAGAAGTGCACGAATCAGATCTGATCTGTAACTGTAATGGTGCTTTATGCGATAACGAATTGGTTCATCTCCTTGGAGAATCTTATAAGGTAAGCTTTCTGTAAATTGTCTATTTATTACTTAGTTGTTTCATATGCAGGGTAAATGCAGAGCCAAGCGTGGTCGCTGTTTCAAGGTTTACGATGAAGAGCATGATAACCATATGTCTATGGGGTAAGTTGATATTCTACAACCTATCCACGAGTGAAAAGTACTTTTTTCTTGTCGCTTGAAGGAATTTTATAGACCGATAAGGCCAACAGACTGTTGACACACTTCTCATTTCGAATTACTTTTTCTCCTCATTTGAGGCAAAGTGTCGTTCAGAGGTCTTCATGATCATGATCGTGTGATAAATAATCTTAGGACTCTTACCGTGAGACCTACCATAACTTCATCAAAAAAGCCCTATGCGGATTGAGTGGCAGCATATTGAATGATATGTAAAGGCTATATATAAAGCTTTAGCGAAATCCAAGACTATACTGATTTGTGAAATAGCCGATTCTCCAGCAATTTCTAGCGCAATCAGACTTCGAATTAACAGATTTAAATTTTTCTTACTTGGTTGATCCATGCACAGACTTGTTTGCCTCTTCACTTAATTCTGATATGTCAATAGCGCATGTTAAACTTTTTAAATAGGAAGATACGATTTGAAGCTCATTTTTCATTTTTTGATCATTTACCTACTTGCAGATGTGTGGACCACAGAGATCTATTCCCGGTACCCATATTCTGTCTTGGTCATCCACATTTCCACATGACATGCTGCAACTACTCGTTCTGTGATGAGGAAATATTTATGAATGTTGGTCATTCTAACACTGTGCTTCGTATGATTTTTGAGCGATTACATCTAGGTGGATGGTGACGCTGAGAATACCGTTTTATGGCCATGGATTGCTGTAGGGTCACTAATAACTGTAAGTTTTATTATACAATCTTTGTGGCCACGTCATGCTGGTAAAGCTGTTATGATTATAAAGTGCTGACCAGATTAATACGGCATGCAACGAGTATGTTCTCTTTGCGTAGTGCGCAGAGTGACCGTCAAAATCTACGCTTTATTGAAGGATTTAGATTCATTTTTACTTCCTTTTATCTATATATCACGCACATTTGCTGAGAAGAGCCAAGCTTATTACCGCGTTGAATATCATAGTCAAAAAACTCAACCATGGAGTTAGGACAATTAGGTCATAAAAGGTGCAAGTGACTTGTTGTTACTTGTAAGTCATTAACTAAAAAACTCAAATCAGCCTTGTGAAGTTTTTTTGGGTGGCAGCAGTCCCTTTTCTAAAACACCCGCGGTTATGGGCCCGGAGAAATGGGAAGAATCCAAAAAAATCTATCGGAATGCGTGGCAAAGGCCAGGTACCTCAATTTGGTAAAAAAAAAACTTTGTCGCCTCCCCCCACCCCCTCCCCCCCCCCCCTCCGAACGAAATCCTTTGACCGCTACTAGTGTCTCCACAGAGAATCATCTCAAAATTCCTTTTTTGCTAAAGTTCTGCCTCTGCAACATGTTTCAGTTGGCGGTCTTTGGCGCTGCTGCTCTGGCCTTGCTCCGGAATCAAAGAATTGCTGCTATAATGCGCAAATATCTTCGTTTGGGTCCCGCTATGTCTACTGCGCTAAATCACATTTCTCCGTAAGTATTGTAGCAGCTTTATCGATAATTTAATGTCTTGCTAAAGACTGTATTTTTACAGCAGAGAAGATGAGGTGCCAATGATTGAAACGATGTCACAAACAACTACCACATCTGCACCTGCAATCCAACTTCTGTTGCTGAAAGGACTCGAGTCTACCGATGCTGGGTCGGGGTCTGGTTCTGGTTAGTATCCTACCAAGCTTACATCCAAGTTTTCGTCATTGACTTGGTGTCATACATCTATTACTCATCATCTTTGATAGCAGAACTGCTGCAGTAGATGGAGATTTTTAGGCTTGCCCTTGCTCACGCAACGCAACATTGCTAGGCAAATCGAGCTCGTGCGAGAAATCGGTCAGGGACGGTTCGGTGATGTGTGTTTTAGACTTCCTTCTAAGATCGCTTGATGTTATGTGCTGTGGAGAATCATCTATCTGTCTCACCTAATTTAAGGTTTGGTTGGGAGCTTGGAAAGGTGACATGGTTGCTGTGAAAATCTTCTCTTCACGCGATGAAGGCTCATGGTCACATGAAGTAGAAACTTTCCAGACGCACATGTTACGTCATCCAAATATCTTGCAGTTCTATGCAAGTGACAGTAAAGGTAAGTGTTACAGTCATCCTGCTGCGTTCGCTATGCACAGTTGTCATGTCATTAGTCTAAAGAAAGTCAAAGTTTTTCTTTCATCACTCTTTGTGACATATTTGCGAGTGAGAATTTCGCATGATTTTTGTTCTTATGTGATAGTCAGTTGCTTTCCAGACACTGGCACCACTATGCAGCTGTGGCTGATCACTGAATATCACCCTCATGGATCTCTTTACGATTATCTGTCTCACTCAGTAAGTTCTTTATTAGGGATAGATTTTGTGCGTAGAGCACTACTTAGATGCGATTTGAGTTTTTCAACAGGAATTTCCACTACTTTCACCATTTTCATCGTTGCTCACAACTTAATTTGTTAAATGGGCTTGACTTTTTTTCAGTATGGTTTTTTTGAAGGTATAAGAGCGCTCGTTTTTTTTTCATTTATATGCCAACACAAACTCTATTTAAAATTCTTGTTGGTAATGATGTAGAGCCTCATTTTAGACCGTGAATGTTCTTACGCTTGTGCAGATGATACGAGGAATCTCAAGCGGGCTTTCCTTCCTACATACAGAGTTGATGGGAATACAGAGTGAGTTTTTCATTCTTTGTCTGAGCTAAATTGAAGCTGATCAAATCTGTCTGTTATAGAAAAGCCAGCAATCGCTCACAGAGATATAAAGAGCAAGAATATCCTTGTCAAATCAGATCTTACATGCGCTATAGCAGACTTTGGATTGGCTGTACGCTATGAAGCTGGGCATATCAGTTTGCCTAACAGCAACAAATGCGGCACTGTGGTAAGCTGTTTTTTTAATGATTACCTGCTTTGACCGTTTTCACATTTTTGTAGCGCTATCTTCCACCAGAAGTTCTTGACGATAAGGTGGAACCAACAAAATTCGAGTTCTATCGCACCGGTGATATGTACGCAATCGGTTTGGTGATCTGGGAAATTGCGCGTCGTACCACCTGTTCTTCAGGTTCGTCTTTTTTGCCTATGTGTACTTCATCGGTACCCGTAGAGTGCGGGTATATATCCGCTCATGTAGTGTTCTCTTTTCCTTTTGCTCATTCCAGTTGCTTTAAATATTCTTTTGCTGAATTTTTGGAGCCGTTTCGCGCTTCCAGCAGCATTTTGATTTTTTATCTGAAAGTTGGCTTTGTTGAGCGGTGATATGTACGGCACACTATTCTAAGATCGTAGCGTCTTGCCTCATCGCTCGTCTAATCAAGATATTTTTGAAATTTTCAAGCGTCAGTATATAATTTGTAGGTCCTGCCTCAACTTTCGCAGAATCGTTGCCGTACTACGATCGAGTGTCACGTGATCCAACGATCAAAGAAATGCGCGAAGTCGTCGTAGTGCAAGGTGTACGCCCTTACCAATCTGAACATTGGCAGAATAACAGGGTTAGCTTTTTTCCTGAACTTTTATTTTCTCAATTTATGTTCACAGGTGTTACGAGACGTGTCGCGTATCATGCGTGAGTGTTGGTCACGAAATCCATCCTCTCGATTGACTGCTATGAATGTTCGCCTCTCAATGGATCGTTTGGCCCAAACTGAGCTCAGTTTACGGTTATCGTGAGGATTGCAGTACACAAGTAAGCTATTTTCCATTTTGATTTGGAGTGGGTTTTGCAACCAGGCTATTATATTGTAGGCTACATTATGTATTATTGGCTTTATTATATATTTTTTCTCATATCTTGCATCATACAGGGTTACAGTGCATGTGCTTGCATATTTATCAAAGCAGACACAGCACTCCAATCGAAAGTATAACTCGCATTAGAATTCCTTAGCTAAGAAAACCTCTACCTTATGTGTATAGGCAGGTAATGGTGCATTTTCCCTGCGAGCTCTAATTATCAAAACTCCCCAAGTTTGAGGTTGTCTGCATAGGTGCGATGAGGTGAGCCGAAGCTCCCCCTCCCTTCACTTTGGAGCCTGAGCCAACCCCCCCCCCTTCACCTGGAACAGATGGCGCTGATGGACAGCTTATTTGGCGCTTACACCTGTAAATAATTTGCTATGATTATGAATTATTGTCGCAAATAAATTCATTGCGGTATATGGAGTGCAATAAACGAATTAAATGTTTAATTATGTCGTTTCAAGCATTATAATTGTTATAGTGATGAGATTAGTGTAGTTTGAGTCAAAGCAATCTTTAACTGAGCTTTCCATGGGATGCAGAAAAAAATGGATCCAAGTGAATTTTTTGTCAAGGTATCAGGTTGCAAAGAACAAAAATTAGGAATTTCAAAGTGTAATAATTGTTGTGTATGGGTTTGAATCCGAAAGATAACGGTCTAGGTGGATGGCACACATGAAGAGCTTTCGACTGATATATAATACGTTGGGCTGGAACGACGTCGCTATGGAATCATCACTTTGCTAAAATATAAAAAATCAGGATATTCAAAATTATGTAACTCTTGTAAACGATACTTTATCTCGATGGGAAGGGTGTATATGGATTGCACTCATCAAGAGCTTTCGATTGATATATAGTATGCTGGTCTGGAACGACGTCGCTATGGAATCATCAGTCTGCTGAATTATAAAAAATCAGGATGAATCAAGGTTTTCAAAGTTAAATAACTCTTGTAAATGATATTGTGTTTCGATGGGAAGGGTGTCCTTGGAATATACTCATTATAAGCTTTCGAACGGTGTACAACAAGTTGGCCTGAATGGAGTCCTTTATAGAAAAATCGGGCCTCAAAAAGACGAGAAATCACGGTGCTAAAAATCGATTTTTTAAAAATAACTTTTCTATAAGTGAATGAATTAGGAAGGGAAGGGTATAGGCGAACTCTACTCCTCAAGAGCTCTCGATTGATATATAATATGTGGGGGGTTCGTGCTGCTGAACTTCGGGAACAGGGGGTGAGCATATTTGGCCGAAGTGCTCACCCCCAAGGGGCGAGATAATGATATAAAGTGAGAGAGGCTGAGCATTTCGGCCAAATATGCTCACCCCCTGTTCCCGAAGTTTAGCAGCATGAACCCTCCCCCCCCCCACATATTATATATCAATCGAGAGCTCTTGAGGAGTAGAGTTCGCCTATACCCTTCCCTTCCTAATTCATTCACTTATACAAAAGTTATTTTTGAAAAGATCAATTTTTAGCATCGTGATTTCTCGTCTTTTTGAGGCACGATTTTTCTATAAAGGACTCCATTCAGGCCAACTTGTTGTACACCGTTCGAAAGCTTATAATGAGTATATTCCACACCCTTCCCATCGAGACACAGTATCATTTACAAGAGTTATTTAACTTTGAAAACCTTGATTCATCCTGATTTTTTACATTTCAGCAGACTGATGATTCCATAGCGACGTCGTTCCAGACCAGCATACTACATATCAATCGAAAGCTCTTGATGAGTGCAATCCATATACATCCTTCCCATCGAGATAAATTATCGTTTACAAGAGTTACATAATTTTGAATATCCTGATTTTTTATATTTTAGCAAAGTGATGATTTCATAGCGACGTCGTTCCAGCCCAACATATTATATATCAGTCGAAAGCTCTTCATGTGTGCCATCCACCTAGACCGTTATCTTTCAGATTCAAACTCATATACAACAATTATTACACTTTGAAATTCCTAATTTTTGTTCTTTGCAACCTAATACCTTGACAAAAAATTCACTTCAGGATCCATTTTTTTCTGCATCCTATGAAAAGCTCAGTTAAAGATTGCTTTGACTCAAACTACACTAATCTCATTACTATAACAATTATAATGCTTGAAACGACACAATTAAACATTTAATTCGTTTATTGCGCTCCGTATACCGCAATAAATTTATTTGCGACAATAATTCATAATCATAGCAAATTATTTACAGGTGTAAGCGCCAAATAAGCTGTCCATCACCTGAAAAAAAACTGTTACGTGCGAAAAAGTAAATTGAAAATCCAAAAAAGTTTTAAAAAAATAAATAAATAAAAAGTTAAATATACAATACTTATAAATTACAAAATTATATACAAAATAAACTAAAAATACAATATACCCTTACTATAACACAATATATACAAATAAAAAATACAATTACAATAAAATTTAATTATGCAATCTCAGTAGAAATTATATATACAAAATGCTATTAATTACAAAAATTATTTTGGAATAAAATCCCCCCCCCGGTCGACGTCGGAACATTTCCGACACCCTTCACTTTTGAGGGTCAAAAACAGCCGAGACACCCTTCACTTTGGAGGGTGCCCGGCTCACCCCATCGCACCTATGGTTGTCTGTAGAAGATTTGGACAAATTGCATATCAGGTATGGACAAAGGAACTTCCTCCTTTTCGTGTTCTTCTGACTCTTTCTGAGCATTTTTTCGCCACATTTTGTCTAATCTTATCTTGGCATGATGAGTCACTTAACTTACGCTCATGAGGAGCCTTGTTTTGCACTCTAACAATAGCTCTGCGAAAAGTATTTCTTTTTTCAACTGCCTAGTTTAGTGCTAGGGACAGGGGTGAGACTATAAAGTAAGGCTGCGAGGTTCTCTATTTCGGTACGGTGGTGAAGATCTGAACTTCTCACTATTGTCAATTCTTCGTGCTCAAATTTCCTTCACTTTCAAGTAATGAAACACATTGTCGGCAGCACCAATGGTCAGCCATTAATCTCAAATTGCAGCCTAATTTATGCAATTATCTACAGGATTTTTCTTTTATTATTTATCAAAGTTGTTACAGTTAAAAATGGATTCTGCGTTGTTTGTCCAAGGGTGTCGCATCGTGTATATTGGTCGCTCACCGTCAGTCTGTATCATCTTTTGATCTCTTTTTTCCTTTGATTGTCCATTTGAAGTGAACCACAGTCCTATCCCGCCTGTGATCTCAAATATTCTGTGATTCTTTTATGATTCAACCGTGCAGAGATTAGCATATCTTAGAACATAGATGCAGTGTTTTGTAAGATTACTAGAATGGAAGTGTGCACGTGCGCAAAGCTGTTGATTACATTATTAGAGAACTTGTTTGAAAGCCGTTTTGTACAGAGCTTTGATGTTACTTCTTAGCCTTTTTACACGGCTGTCTCAACCTTGAAAGAGAACGATGGCGTAACTAACACTTGGGAGTCCGCTTTGTCATCCGAAATCTTGTTATATATGTAGCTGCACACATTTCCATCTGAGCTACTTGACCGTAAGACCTTGTCTTTGCAACTGTATCTCATTTCTTACCTCCGCACGGTATTCGAAAAATGTCGTTTTATTTTCTACGGGTTATACCTACGGGTTTATTGTATATCTACGTATTGTTTTCTATGTGTCACACTTATATGTTGCTAAATTCGCATACAGTTTCGGTGATGAAATGTTAACAATTGTGAAAATTTTTTGTGTTTTCCGTCATCACAAGAACAATGATAAATTGCTAAATTGAGAGCAGTGCACACTAAATTTGGAGCATAGCTGTCAAGGACAGGAATTCACTATGTCAAATGATATAGAAAACTATTATATACTTGTCGTATTAAAACACCGCACGGTTGATTTACTTGATCCGCTTGATCCATTTCGTGTAACGCGCCATAAGTAATCTGCCATTTGGCGTGGCCTATAGCGAATTTGTCAGACCATACGAATAATCTACCTACCCGACGCCAAGTGGCAAAGTAGTGGCGGCGGCTTTTACACGAAGTGCAAAGCCAATCAAGTGGATCAATTATGACTTGTGCCTAAAAAGAAACTTCGTAAGTGCTCATCACCGCAAATGATGGAACATTACGAATCTGGTGCGTTTGTTACGGCCAAACGAGAGAGATTGGACAAGCAACTGAATGGAAGTATGTAGAGAGTACGGGAACGAACTCCGCACTTTTTGGGCCACCTACGCCCATCTGGTCCTTTTGCGGTGTTGTTGTTTTCGTTTGAAGATCAGACCGCGTAGGCGGCTCAAAACGGCGGTTCTTTACCTACCCGAATGCGGGTAACAAGCGTGCTTTCTGATCATTCCCCAGCCTTGATTAGGCCTCGAAGCTCCGCCTTCCAGACGCCAATCCCGTCGAATCAAAGGGTACTTTTCGTACCACTCATCGCAGATTATGCATTGTCTGCGTTGTGGATTATTTGCATTAACGAGAGCTCCTAGTAAAAGCTCAGGTATACCTCTTCGACATCTATCTCAAGCAGACCAAAATTCGACCAATAGTTTCAAAAACTTTACATTTCGACAAGGTAGGCTTTCGAAAGTGGCAATATGAAAACAAAATCACAACATAACAATGACTATATGCACAAAATGAGTTCACTCAAACAACAAAGATCATGTGTAAAGACTGATAAAGAAAATTCATACAATTCAAAAACATATATTCATAGATATTTAGCGAAATCCATAGGAAAGAATGGCGAGATTCAAAGGGACGTTTCGAGATTCATTGTGAGGGCAGTTCTTCATACCGTATGCCTTCATAGCCGTTCCCACTGGTCCCCGTTTTTGCCCTACAACGAAAATGAATTACCTGGATTGAATTTGGTTAATGAATTTGTTACAAGCCGCTAACACTCGGCTTATGTTCTGTACGACAACAACAATGTAATATTTTCGTGCAAAGCTGCTTCTCCTCAGAATCAAAAGCTGGACTGCATGGAAGGAAGAGGCTGTTCGAAACGTACTAAAGTGGTTAGATCGGAATGTGTTAGTGTTTGCCGATGTCGTGTCGCCTCCGTCGTCGGAATGTCGACGATGTGCGCTCGATTGTGTTGTCCTCAGACTAAATTCGTTAGTGGGTTAGTCAATGCTATAAAAAAAGCAAAAATTACCCATAGTCGACGCGTACGTTGCTCTGTAAATTTTTTTTGGATCTCGTACAAAGTTATAGGGGTTAAAAATGGTCCTCAAAGTCTCTCCTAAATGTCTGCTGTTGTTAGCGTAGCCCCGTGCCGAGATATCGATCGATCATTACCGTGCGCATCTGGGCGGACTCCGGCACAGCGCTAGCACGGCGCTGGAACGGCGCTGGTATAGCGCGCCCGCATCACCAACCCTCGACGCTGCCTTACACTTCAGAAGAACCGCTTTTCTTTTGAGTAGACAATAATTTTTCATTTTGAAGCAATGAGTTCTGTCTCCATCGTAAAGTTCAGTGATAGTTTTCTACAGGGATTGCCAAAAGAAATTCCTGTAGAAAACTATCAAATCCCTTCAACAAAGAAATCAAACCCTGCGTATTTAGTGGAAATTATTTTTTTTTCTATAGAAAACGTACATCCATAGGTTTCCAGGAACAGTACGGTAGAGGTAAACCATCGGGTCCTGTGGGGCATGGAGCATCAAGACCGGGGATTCCCTTGAATTCTTCATTCAGAAGCTACAATAGTGAAAAAAGCAGGAGCAAACAAACCTGATCTCCTTTCTCTCCTCTTGCACCTGGAATTCCATCAGCACCGCGTTCTCCAGGTAAGCCAGGATGTCCTGGGGCTCCTGCAGGTCCCTGAATTGAGAAAATGAGGCTTAGAGACAATCTCTGGTTTGTCTGGGTACATGGAGTCTGATTGGGATTCCCCAAATTAAAGCCAGTATCAAAGCAGCAGCATATATGACGCATCTTGGTCGAGAAAATCGATTTTGAGCTGCAGTCCAGACCGTACTTTCTACCGTACTCGAGGATGCTGATTGGACCCTAGGGGGACTAAGGTTTTGAAGTTTGAAGTTTTCGGCCATGAATTAGACATCGGAGCTGCTGCTTAGGCAATGACATATTAACACATTCACGACAGGGCCGATTTTTTTATGACTGCCATTTCGGACCAGAGCATATTTCGCAAAATTGAGTTTGCGTAATATTTTCAGGTCACTGATGGGTCCTGTGGTCTGAAGTGTTAATCTTTCGGGAAGTACACCAAGAGGTGTATACAGAAGTTTACTCGATTTGCTTAAAAAGTTTCAACCGTGAACTAGCAAAATCAAAAATTCAGAAACCGTACGACCCACCGGTGGGTCGTATTGTCGTGAATGTGTTATAGGGGCCTGCAGGATCGCGAGAGTCGGACGCGCGTACGGCCTTTGCGCCGCGCACGCCTGATATCGCTGGGTCGTAGTCGATTTAGGCTGGATAGGTGAGATTTTTTTGTTTTTCTTCTCATTTCTCGCCTTCTTTTCTTTTCAGGCGGCGAACATATGTTGGTGCAGAGGAGTTTAAGATCTAGATTAAGGTGAGGTGCAGGATTATGCTCAATACGGGCCAATGTTGTGGACTTTTCACCCCTGCTTTGAAGAATGTTGAGTTTTCTGTTCTGGCTGTCCGATTATGTTCGATTTTTCGTCCTGCCTGCCCGGTTACGAAACTCCGTTTTATTTGCAACGTCTGTTCTACCTCATCTTGCATCATGCGCTTCATCACAATCATAATCATTGTCATCATCATCATCATCATCACAAGCAATATGCAAGATAAGGTAGAATAGACGGTAGAAATAGAACAGTTTGCTGTAACAGGGCAGCCAGGACAGAAAATCCAACATCTCAACCAGCAGGCATGGAAGGTCTGCAATATTGAGTCCATATTGAGCATAATCCTGCACCTCACCTTAATTTAGATCTTAAACTCCTCCGCACCAACATGTGCTCACCGTCTGAAAAGAAAAGAAGGCGTGAAATGTAAAGAAAAACAAAAAAACTTACCTATCTAGCCTTAATCGACTACGACCCAGCGATATCAGGCGTGCGCGGCGCAAAGGCCGTACGCGCGTCCGACTCTCGCGATCCTGCAGGCCCCTATAAGACTAATGAGCTTCCACATAAGACCTGGCACCCAAGTGCGTGAATAATTCCTTTGGGAAAATTTGTCTTAGGTAATAGTCAAGATCAGGATCAGTTATTTCGATTATATATTTGGCGCACATCATACGTGTTTAATATGGAAAATTAATACATTTCGACATACCATAGGTCCAACATCTCCTTTCGGTCCGACCGGTCCTTGCTTACCCTGAAAATATTTGAATAGTCTGAAAATGGATCTACTTCGTAGATGACTGATTTCACAACGAAGCGGCCTTTGGCACATTCTACCACAAATCACGAAAATCTACATGATTACGTGCTTCGTGCTCATGCAAATTACCACATCGATCATGGCGAAAACTGGTCGCCAAGAAAATCAAAATTCTAAAGTTGATTGAATGCTTTGCGCTGCTGCTTGGTTCTGCTTGTAAAAATAATCAAATTGTTAAAATCTACAATGTGAACGCTGAAGAAAATAATATGATGATCCAAGAAATGGTATGTATTTGTTTTCGACTTACCGGTCTACCCTCTCCAGGAGGACCGCGCATGCCCATGGGACCAGGTGGACCCTTAATATAAACATAGTGTTTGGAACCTATATGGAAATAAGCTGAACTTACCGGCAATCCCAGCGATCCTGGCTGGCCAGGAAGTCCAGGTCCTCCTGGCTCGCCCTTCTCTCCTGGAGGACCCGGAAGTCCTGGCGGACCACGTGGACCTGGTACAGCTGCTCCACTCTGTGAAGGTACCTCGTATGTTTGACCCTGAAAGAAAATAAATCAATGAGTTTTGAAAAGATTATGTGACCAATAAACACGAGCCGCAACAACATTAACAGCAAGCACCGGTTGTCCAGGTAGACCCGGAGGTCCGATCTCTCCTCTGTCGCCCTTCTCACCGGAATGTCCAGGAAGGCCTTGTGGTCCGCGTGATCCTGCAGGTCCGACTGGACCGGGGGGTCCCTGAATGCAATCAAAATACTCACATTCTTCTCTCTTATATGAGTTTCTCCTTACCTGCGGTCCAGGAGCACCAGGAGGTCCAGGATAGCCATGTTTTATCCTCATTTCTCTCAACTCTTTTTTAAGTACAGGCATCAATTCATGAGCGAGAAGTTCCAAGTTTTGAGTGTCCAAGCCGCCAGAGCAGTTCTGGTGGCATACGCCCGGTTCGCCGTGTCTTCCCTAAAATTTGATGGTCCAGCGCGGAGCTTAGGGTTATTTGCGTGAGGAAAAACAAAATATTAGCAATGCGCTGTTCTAGAACACTCTTAAGAGGGGAACTCTGAGTATGTAAATGAATGAAGAACACTGCAATCAACTTAGAACCATTTAAAAAAAATTTTTGGTAGGTACACAGCAACTTTTTCATATTTTACTTATTCCAGAAAAAGAAGAATACACTGGATGATATAATTTTTGACCAGAAAGGTTGCTTACGATTTGTAAGGGTGAATTCTGGCAGGAGAACGGGTACGGTCATTAGTCGCGCGCTACACTTAATCTATTTAGTTCGTTTGCTTCACTTCGTCCACTTTGCTATTGGCCAAATCAGTGAGCTGACCAATAGCGAAACGGATGTCTAATCGTTCCACTTGATCCGCTTCGCTATTGGTCAGTTCATTGATTTACCAATAGCTAAGTGGATCAAGGGGATCTAGCGGATCAAATGTGGCGCGTGCCGTAGACGCTGTCTCACGGACTATTGATCCTTACGCGATATGCAATAACATGCGGGAAAGGATCAGTTATCCGAGGCAGCGCCCAATGGCGGTATCCGTTCATCTACCTGCAGAATTTCAATTACTGCTTTGATTTTACCAGAACATTTGTCGTAAAATGCTAAATTTCTACTTGAAGAAAAATGTGGTGAAAAATAGTCGACTCACCGTGCTTCGTTTCTGTTACTATAAATATCTCACTAAACAGAACCAAAACATACACCACCTCTTTTTACGATCACAGTGACGTTTCTACTTAATATTTAACTACACAGCCGCTTCACATCATGCAACTAGCACTTAGCACTCATGACAAATCACTCGAAAAACCATATTAGGTCATGCTTACTCGTCGTCCTCTTTTGCCGGGAATTCCTTCAGGACCAGGAGGCCCCATCGGTCCTGGTGCCCCAGTATCGCCCTGAAAAAGCAGTTAGCGGTGTTAGCAGCACGCATACATACGTTGATTAAACTCAAATAACATGAAACAAGTTATGGCCACGAGGTGGATATATATTCCATGATTCTATGATATAACTGACGAAGTCAAGAAATAATTACCTTTTCGCCCTTTTCTCCATGTAAACCGTCTCTGCCGGGAGGTCCTGGAGGTCCCATGACTACCTGAAAGTTATAGATTCATTTGAGGCAGATGTTATCTTCCGAGATATTTCTTGAAGTTCGAAATATATCTATACCCGGCAGAATATAGCAGATTTGCAATGCAATACTCCTATTGCATCTCTCCAGATGAATTTTTAAAATTTTCAAGACAATTTTCTGAAATTTGCATAATTTTCAACTCTTTTGAATACTACAAAACATCAACCTTTAGACGTTGAACTCGAAAATCATGAGATTGATTTTGGAAATTAGATGATCAATCTATAGATCTTTATCAACCGAAACTGTTTATCTGTTATTCTGTTACTAAGAAACCATACTTTCGTTTTCAAAACTATGGTTTCGTAACGAATTTCTTACCTTGGCGCCGGATACGGTAGGTCCTCCGGGTGATCCCGGCAGTCCGCGTGGTCCTGGGATACCTGGTTCGCCTCGATCACCTTTCTCACCCTGATAAAGGTAGATGTCATAATTTTTTGATTCCAGTTTATTGAACAGCCCTTCTAGATATACTTTTGTCTAATGACACACAAGACTGTTTAAACAGTAGACAATTCCTAATCTAGCTATAGAGTCACAAAAACTTCCGCACACTACGTATGCACACACGCTACCTGTGGTCCACGGAGTCCCATACGTCCATCTATGCCCGGTTTTCCTGGTGGGCCAGGAGGACAGAACGCGGGAGGTGCAGGTTGCCCTGGTGGCCCGGGAACTCCAGGAGGTCCTTGTGCACCTTGAGGACCCTGCGGACCTTGTGGTCCGGGAATAAGTTGCGAATGGGCATGAGCGATAGGGTGACCGTAGATGGAGGTAGCTGGAGCTCCAGGTTCACCCTGCACGACACAACACTAACCACGAGCCAATGACACACGAATGTTTAGTAAACGGGGAAAATGTGCTACAAAAGCTGTCTCCGCAGTCCTAACAATGACCGAAGAAAAATAGGTACCTTTTCTCCACGTTCGCCTGGTGGTCCACGAAGTCCGGGTATGCCGTCGCGACCGGGTTCTCCGTGATCTCCTTTCGGCCCGACCTACAAATAGGGTTGTTTCACAAATTGCTTTTTGACAGCCAAAAGATGAAGACAGAAGCAATCGAAATCCGGAGAAACGGCTCTAAAAGATTTCTATTTCATGAATAAGTCCAGGAACTGTTTGCCTGAGAGTTGATCGAATTTTGAAGTAAAAGTAGGCTAAGGTAACTCTTTCATGAGGTATTGAATGTATGACGTACCATATGAATCCTACCCTACGACGTGCTCTTACCCTTATCTACTACCTTCACCTTCGTTTCCCCTCCTCCTTATTTTTAATATTACTTTTTCCGCTGTTCGGCGAGCTCACTTTCAGCTTACCTTGCTTTCGCCGTCGAATCCAGGGAGACCTCGATCACCCTTGGGTCCTGGTCTCCCTTCATGTCCAGGTGTTCCAGGAGGACCAGGAGGTCCCGGTGGACCAGGCGGACCTTGGATCATAAGTGGCGCATTCGGAACAGCTCCCACCTGAAATTCTTGGGTGAAAGAATTCAAAAATAGACACTTATAGCCAACACCTTGCAAGACAAACAGAACACGGCACAACACTAGTGCAAGCACATACGGTGGACAATTTAGAAACAACCGATAATACTCTCCAATTTTGCTGAGATTTCGCTTTTAATGAGTCAATTACTTTTAGCCAGTGCCCTGTTTATTTGCAGTTTCTACTGCAAGATATTTTGGGTTTTGACAAGAGGATTCTAGTAAGAAAGAAACATTGAGCTACATTAATTTGACTCTATTCTGTGAAATACATTTGCTGCCTCAATCTAAGCTTTTGCATGCAATCGCTACAACACTGCTCATTACTCTGTATTCGTTGTAGAGGTGGCTTCGAGAGTGATTCAAAGCTCGCCAACCGTCCGGAGCATCCGCCTAATAAACAAAGATTTCAGAACCACACCAAACAGTAGTCGAAATAAATTATGAGTTGAGTGTGAATGTTTGGTCCAAGTTATTCGCAACGAAATGGGGTGGGTTAGACAGAGGAGAATGTCGCATGCTTTACACCACTTGAATGAGCTCAGTTACCTGTATTTGTCCGTGCCTAGCGACACCTGGTTCACCTTTCTGCCCCGGATATCCAGGAGGTCCCACTGGACCTCGATCACCCTTCTCTCCCTTTGTCCCTGGTGTGCCCTGTAATCAGAATTTCACATTGTAATTGAAAAGTACATAAAGTTGACGACACTTTCACGCTAACACTGCACGCCGCTCCACTGGAAAAATGAAAATATGGGCAAGCGACGGTTTGCACCGGTTATGGAATTGCATTTAATAAGGTGAAGTTATTGGAGTTGGGAAATAGTACTGAAAAAACAAAAATTTTCTCAATCAGAAAAGCATCCATACGTCTTGTTTTGAGCAGAAACGAACGAAAAATCAATACTGATTTACAAAAATTGTGTGTTTTCAAGAATCGAAATAATGCTACCGATCTATCATTTATTTAAAAAATCATGATACAAATAGATAAGCCATAGACATTTGCTTCTTATTATTCCCTAGTTCATGACATAGAATGATTTACTTAAGTATAAGACAAAAATAATTTTTGGGGTTCAATGACTGCATCGTTGGCCTGCTCCCAGCAGAAAAGTCTACATTCCAAATATTGTTTTTATGTATAATTCTTTCTGATAATTTGCAGAAGCTTACTTATGTCGTCTGAGATAAAAATAAAATAGTACAATTAGGTAAACTTTTACACAAAATTATCCCCAGCACCGCTAGGAAGAGCTCAAATTTCATATCAAGTGCCCACTCTTCATTCTTCCAATGATCACAAGTCACACATCTACAATCATCTACACCTACCGGTAAGCCTCTGGGGCCATCCAAACCTATTGGGCCCTGAAAACGTCATTAATTCACAAGTCATCATAAGAGCAAGCTCTTCCCATGCTTCTCGTAGAAGATTCAAACAAAATTGCAAACGGGAATGAAAACAAAGGAAACTAAAGAAAACACACCGGAAAACCAGGATATCCACGGGCGCCTTTGGTGCCCTGAAAAAATTTACAAATTCAACTAAAATGGAATGAAAGGAAGATAAAAAAGGAAAAAAGATTTGTGACAGTATAAAGAGTCTAAAGTCTAGAGAGAAATGAGGGTTGCCCAAGATAGTTCAAAGAAGAGAACAAGCATTGCGTTCAAACAGCACTTGCATCCCACGGCGAACTACCATGTGATCTACTGATCTATTGATCTAGTGCGTACCGGTGGTCCAGGAGGTCCGGGAAGTCCCCGGAGCTGGATCGCTTGTCCATCGGGTGAGTACAACATGCCAAAAGCTCGCAACTTTCGTTGAAGACGTGGATCCAACGGCTACAAACACAATCACGATGACTTAATTACACAATACTACAGTAACACTTCGAGAGACATACAGTCATCGGTGCTGGAGTGCTTTTTCGACGGTAGTACGGGGCAGCAAGACCCTAAAAATCAACTGTGACACAACACACCACAACAGTGAATGACAATGTTGTCTGTGGATTGACATAACTTTTTGTCACGTATGACAGGATGCCTGTGAGGCTCCAGTTTACATGAAAATCTCTTTCGCAGATTGCCACAGTGTGAAAGATTTGATGTGAATCTTTGTACAGTTAAAGAAACTGAATCACAACGGTCATGAACGTGGTGTGAGGTTGTTCCCCCAAAATTTACAATTCTGCTTCCCTAAAAAAACCGTGGGTGCTGAAGGGGGTTGCCGGTGCTCGGGAAAGATAGAGGTTCACTCGAATTATTACTGAAATAAAAAACCTACTGGGTACCCGTTGAATCCTCTCAGTCCCTACAAAGACCGACTTGGTTTTGTGTACAGAAACTTACCGTACTATCAAATTACAAAAAATCTTGGATTCTGAAGCTTACAACGCAAAATATCTAGCTAAATTTCTTATGAAAGATGGAAAAAAAGTATTTCTGACATCATATGCGTAGAAATTTCTGAAGCTTCTCAGCTAACTTGAAAAGAAAAAGCATTTCAACAAAACAATGTGAGATGTTTTATTCTAAAACACAATCTTTACGAAAAAATTTGGAGAGAAAACTTTATTGGAATTTAACGAAAATGTTCTTGAAAAGGGAAAAGACCGAAAAGCAGACTTTTTTAAACGATGAATATTATTATCTTATTGTTAGAAGAAAAATGTGTAGAACTCACCGGGGGTCCTGGAGGTCCTCGTGGTCCTGAAATTACAAAGATTCAATAATTTTTGAATGGGATGTATTCAGAACATTCATTTATGTATTAGGCTGGAAACTAAGTTTTGCAACTGGCCTCATAACTTCCCTCTCACTCAACATAGCGCACTAAAATTTTGGCATTATGTAGAGAGTAATGTGTGCTACAAGCACGCACAAACCGTTTGGATTTCGAGCACGAAATAGAAAAGTTTCAGGCATTTTTCCAAAACTAGTGCAATTTGAGAATTTTTGGGGTTTCAAGCTAAAATGAAGCCTTTAGCAGCCTAGACCACGCCTAGTAATCCTGATTCGTCTGTAAATTATGCTGGAGGTTGACTCCTTTGGCCTTTCTTACATATTTCGTTCAAGAATTGAAATATTCTCCTCAATCAAGCTATTTCTGTTTTTAGTGGTTTCAAGTCGGGTTTATTACTGACTTCAACGGAAAAAAGCCACAGAGACCAACTGAAGGGATCTGCTCCGATAAGATCTCCAAAAAATCTCAAGCAGTTCTCTTTCTCCTAGGGTGTCATAAAAAATACTTTTGAACATTCTACCCCTTAGTGATAATAGATGCGAAACTAAACTCTAGTAAGAAAGAAACAAAATTTAGGGGCATGTCGAGATTTGGCGTCCTCACAAAGTCGAACGAGTCGATGTACGCAAGAGCTGCTGGGACGACCGTCAATGACTAAGGAGTCGGAAGCTCAAATTCCGCCGAGACTTCAGTAAGGTTATTTGACCTGCCGAACGCGAATATCATATTCATTTGTTGAATCAACGCCTTTTTCCTTGTTTAAGGTGAGACCCCATATCGTACACCTACAGTAATCCTACAAAAAAGCCCTTATCGCACAATTTCATTATCGTTTTCGTGATCAGCATGTCGGATAACACCTCTATGCCAAGTTTCAGCCAAATCTGTCAAACTTTGAATTTTTCCCCTTCATACCATACACCTACCGTAGCCCTCACTGCGACGCCAGAATTTGGTAGGACAGCAGCTGCGCTTGTAGCTTACGTCATAACCAACACAGTGGCAGAATTTGAGTGAAAGGGAAGTTATGAGACCAGTTGCAAAACTTAGTTTCCAACCTAATATTTAGAAGTGAATGCCGGTCAAAACGATAATAAATCTAACAAAATAGGCTTCATGTCTACTCTCAGTGCTTATTTTTTACCGTAGAGCTCGGCGCTGAGAACTTCACATATCTTTCCTTCCCCCCCCCCCCCCTTCCTCCCATCGATTAGTTATAGGTCTATCAAGAAATTCGTGGTTTCGCATCTTGGATCAATCCCATCATCTTTTGATGTAATGTGTCAGAAATGATGTTCGGAATATGTACGACATTATATTACACCCCTTCCCTAGGCTACCTGCAGTAGTGGGGTAATGCGTGATAATTCGGGAATTTTAGCAAAGCAGCCAAGCATAAGTAAGCGGAAAAAAACAATTTCTTAAGCTAACACTATATTAGTCCGTATGTTTTTTTTCATTGTCATACGCCAAGATTCTAAATGCTTCTCATACAAGAAAATGCGCATATTCTTAGATACAGGACAAGTTAAGCTCTCAATGACAGGGGTATGATTGATATGTATCCTGTGACCTTAGCCTTACTCAATAAGGATCTTTCGGAAGATTTTGAGGAGACATTGCGTAAGCGGAAAACCTTTGATGAAGGACGGTGACGGGTGTTGCGTCGCTACTTGTCAGCATTAGCATAATGTAAATTGGGGTACCAGTAAAGTTGTGTTGGTAAGGAATGAGTAAATGCTTGCATTCAGCTATCAAATTTTTTCATAAAAGCTTTATGCAAAAATAAATCAGTATGATCCATTTGCCAGAGACTTGGTTAGATACGAACAAGGTCCATACAAATGCTAGCGTAGCTTCCGACAGACCTTTGGAAAAGAGAATTTTTTTATTGGAGCTAATTTACTCCCTTCTCACTGAATCCCATGTTTACAGTTATAATCAAAAATGTGTTGAACAAGGACGCTAACAGCAGAAGGTAATAAAATAAGATTAATGATTAGTAAAAAAAGAAAATGTTCTTTGTCGTAAATTATTGAGGCCTTACCTGGAGGACAAACGCATTCCCTATCGTTTCGGATCATGCGACTCCTTCTTCTCAACGTGGCATTCCGCATCTCAACCTGGATCTGAAAGAAAATTTTGTAGATTGCTTTGGAAAAGCGATACTTGCACCTCAATCCAAATAAGCTCATTTTTTCTTTCGGTTCCATTTTAGTCAGGCGAATGTGCAGATGCAAATGATAAGCACAAAGCTTGCAATTCTAAACGTTTGAGGTTATGAAAGCGTTCAAAGATACTAATTTGGTAGCAATCTACAACTCCCGCTGATTAAATAATGGTTTTATTTACGCAAAAATCCTTAAGAGTTTGATTACAGCTTCGAAGCAATGGAAAGTAAAAAACGCTCAAGTGATAACCTTTTACAAAAAAAGGAAGCCAACCCTCCTTAGTTCCAATTGCAAAGTCCCCGTTGATTTTTCAGATTTCTTAGACTTATCTATCGTATGTGGAATCGTCACAATAATTTTTTTTGCTGTGCTAACGGGTAGGTATTAACAAATTCTCAGAGAAAAAAACTATATATTGACGAGTTCTTGCTATAGTAGCACTTTTGACATATCTGCGAGCAATTTTCGTGGGAGGAAATAAATCAAGAGGCAGAAAAACAGTCGCCTCTTTTTCTTCGCTTAAAAATATATGATTTTGGCACCATCAGAAAGTGCACAGCAAGCTGCTCTTAATCACCTTCAAAAATCAATTTCTTTGCTCCCACACTTCAAAATCTCTTAGTTGATATCTCGATATATTCTCTCAAGAGATATGTAGTTTTTGGCTTGGATAGATGGATCGCGATGTACGCAGCAATTTCTGAGAATTTATAGCTACACGAAGTGCCAGCTGACTGCCTCAGCACTCACTTCGAACATTTTTTTCTCTGTCACTCACAGTAAAGTAAAAGTCAAAAAAGTGGCTGATCTCTACTGTCCATTCTTCTGGAGATATTAAGTGAATTTTGGTGGAGCTTGGGTTGTAAAAGAAAACATTGTTTGATTTGATAGTGGCACGGCTGTAACCTGATCTAAAGGCCATAAATTCCGAGAACAAAAGTGCCGACGTCGTTTTCGAAAGCTTTGACTCATCCAGGATTTAAGAGGGGCATCGCAAAGTGCAACGAGTTGGGCCATGTGGCCAATTTCACCTACGCAGCTAGCAGGTGTGTGCATCCACTACAATTCTAGAAATTTTCGAAAAAAAAATTTCAAAAATTTAGCGCTTTTACTGCTGTGGACCATGTAGAAGATTTCACACCCTATTATAGCATAAAAATCCCAAAAAGACGCAAATCAGCCTGTGACATCCCCCCCCCCTTACTGTCATAGATTTGCAGTCAAGAAAACACTGTCTCGTCTCTGTTTTATTGCTTGTTCCGAAGATAAATGAATTCCTTCTCGTAGAGTTGTGCGAGAACGATTTGTCGAATACTTTCGTATCACACAATTCGCCGAGCACGAAGTGATCATTAATTTTGATAGCTGACCGCTGTTTTTTGCTACACCAGAACATTTGTTGCAAGTGATCGTAGAGTACATAAGCGATGAGCTAGCTTAATTGAACTCAACTTCTCAAATTCTCTGTAAATTAAGTTTCAAAAGTCTTAAAAAGTCCTAAAAATTTGAAGCAATAACGAGAAAAGCTTAGTTAAAAAAGCCCAAAATGCCAAATATGTAATAAGAGTGTTTTAAAAAAATGAGGGAAAGTTTAATCTCAAACCAAAAACAAAAATTAGCTTACTTGATATACTTACCGTTTAGATATAGGCAGTAAATAAGAAAGAAAATGAGGAGCAAAAAGATGATGAATTTTGCTAATTTGAGGCCTACTGCATGTGATTGCGAAAACTTATCAAAAATTTTCAAGTTATCAGCTAGATCACGAGAAATAATGTGAATAATTTCTCAAAAACCCAAATTTTTATCACAATACTTTTTAAATTCAGCATACCACATAAGGGAACTATGGAAAAATGAGTGAAAAACCTTTTCTCTCATTCAAAGAGTTTTGCTTTCAAAAAAAAAAGGGAAATAAAGTTCAGTTTCAGCTTAGCTAGGGGAATTGCTAGGAGCAATTATACATTCCACCCCCTTCCCCTTAGAAAGGGTCTAATTTCACTTAGGTGAGCTGCAAAAATACGCAAATGACGTAATAATTGGAACAACTTTCCAAATTTCAACAAAAAAAATCAGGGTTATCCCTGTAAACGTTTTCGCTCTGGATCATGTACCCGCAGAAATCTTGGGAGACATGGCTAACACCACGCACCTTCATTCAAAAAGGATCTTCGTCTCCCCCTCCCCCCCCCCCCTCCCGTCACTCCTCCTGAATGAAAATCCGGGAAGAGCCACAGTGCGGTGTGTATATTTTTTTGCTTAGATCTTCTATCTACGGAAAAACCAACCATAATTTTTTTTGCTTCTTTACCCTTTCTGGAGTACCCCCCCCCTCCGTTTCTTTCAAAACTGTGCCCGGGCCTCCCATGAGGGCACGCTCCAAGAACGGTCATTGTGCAGTAAATGTGACGGAGTTGGGGACAAAGCATTGCGTGTCAATGAAGCCGCCAATCAACCAGATCGCAGCACTAAAACTCTCACCCGTTCAATTATTGGAACATCCTAACACTTTCTGCACTCTTATGGCATAAATGGAGTTAACAAAAGTTGAAAAATCACTGCATCAGCGCTTTTTTTTTCTTGACACATATGCATCCCGCAGTTTTTTTCTCTGGACAAAGGCGATGAGCGCGGATTAGTCAGCTCAGTAATTCTTAGGTGATGAGCGGCTATTCCGTCGTTATGTCACTTCCCGTTCATTATGTTATATTGGCGCACGAGTCGACAGATGTGCCAGGTCATCATTTGTGGCAGTGACTGACTGACAACGAGTGTCTTTGCGCACGACAAATCGTAAATACAAGATTTCAGGATGTCTGACATCCGAGAGTCACAGCTACGAACGGGGAAAGTTTGACTCGCATGTGTTCAGTTCGGGATGGGCTAAGACCCTAAATTCAGTGGCCGACCGAGAAACACGGTTGAAAGCGGCCTAGATGAGTTATGGAAAGGTACAAATGACTCGCTTTTACTTGTAAACAATTACAAACAATCACAATAATCTCTCAAAATTGTTGAAAATACAAATTTGCTTTATATTGAGCTGCAGATGTTAGTTGTTGGAGATATAGAAGCATAAATTTGAAATACTAGACTGATGCACAATTCTTGCACCAAAAAATTAGAAAGTCATTTCAAAAACGCTTAGACAAACTATTCACGCTGTATGCTCTTTGTTTTGTATATTAACAGTAGTATTTTATAGTACATTTTAGAGCCCCAAAAATAAAAAAGTGATCTTATCTGACATACTGAACACCACACTAATCATGGTGAGCTAAATGTCATGCCATTCCAGGATGTACTGTAAGCGTACGGTAGGACACAAATCACAGAATTACTGAAGATCAAAGAGCAATTCAACGTACTTCATGTGAAAATTGCTAATTCCTCACAATGGGACTTCTTGGAGGAGTTAGAGATTCACTTTAGTGCGCCGTGAAGCGTTATTAAGGAAATATTAACTACAATACAGCTCACAGAATGTGCAAAATTTCTTTGAATGTTGCGGAACTCCGGAAATGTTACTTCCGCAAAAAATTTCGGAATTCCGCGACATTCACGGAAATTTTGCACATTCTGTAGCGGTATTGTATATCTGATGGCTTCAGCAAGTTCCGGGCATTTTTTATTGTACATCTTCAAAAATTTCACAAAAATCCTTCTTCGCGGAATCAGTACCAAATTTTTTGGTCAGCATATGAGATAACCCTATAGGCCTAATTTGAGCAAGACCATGTTAAAAGTTAGCTCGGATAGCCATGTAGCGTCGACTATTTCTAAAATTCATCTGCTTGTTACCAAAATCAGTTTCCTCAGGAATATATAGCCCATCCCAACAAGGAATCTGTTTGGATCCGAGTGCTTATGTTTCATCGCCCCCAGTCGATGTCTATCAATCAACGGCTGGTCGATCCAATTCAACGAGATCTGCTCACCCATCAAACTGCCCCAGGCCGATCCATCTTCCAGCACACTGGCACTAACACACCTGTGTGAAAGGTGTAACTACACTCAGTACACTGGCAACTCGAAGAACCCAGGAGCATAAAAGCAGCCAAATAATGGGTTCAGGATCACTTAGCTGAGTGCTGGAGCACCCATTAGCCCCTGTTTTTTTTCGCCTGGCTCGTCTCGTTTATGAGGTAGCTGCTGTACCCGAAAAAAGTAACTAGGGCTTTTAGCAGGTGCTCGTCCTAAGACAAACATCGGCCAAGCATTATGCAAATGTATGCAGGTGATCGGCTAGTCAAGAGGGTCATCAAGATAGCTAACGACCACCTCCATTGCATCGTCTCAACTTATTGGCCCCATATTGGAAAGTTTATGGTGCTTTTTGCATAAAAATATTCCAGGCAAATTCAGATAGCAGTTTTTTAGAGAAAAAGTATCGGTTGGAAAGCAGAGAATGTCGTTTGAACAAGAGGAACGCGAAAAAAATATTTGAGGTGTACCTTTCAATAGAGCATAATTGAATCTACAAAATAATCTCTAAAAAATAACATAAGCCGTGACTAAGGCACTGTGTGAACTCAAAATTCATGAACAATTCATAATGCCACAGTCCTTAGCTCCAAAAAAATCCTAAAAAATTCTTGCTCGTTTTTCCGAGTAGCAGGTAAATGCTATCATCTAACTACACTTACTACATTTTAGTTAGAAGCCAAAAAAATTGAAAATGGAATTTGGCAGATTGCCCTCAACAGTTCTTAGAAGTTGTTCCATGATTGCAGCTTCGTAAAATTTTGGTATTTCTAACAATTTTTTACATCTTTTACATTCTGTTTCATTACCCTTATTTACACTCAAGATGCGCCAAAATCAATGAATAAAATTATATAAAGAAATACATAAATGTACAAGCTATGCTTTACTCTCTGAGAAATATTGATTTTAGCAAATAAATAACATCGGAAAAACGACAGACTTTTCTTTCCAATCTGACTGTTCCCTACCTTTCTTTGCAGACCCCTATCTTGCCCTACTACTTGATCCTATGATTTTTTTCTCACTGATTAATTTTTGAGCTAGATGTGGGCAATCTCTTCCTATAGATTTTACTAGCTTTTACTATGAAGCTTATACTATCCAGCACGCAAGAGGAAATGTTTGTGCCCACACGTCTGACCCCTAATCAGCTTAGAAGCAGCGGGTAATCTGCTGTCAAGTAAGTCAAACGCCAAAGTCAAGTGCTATTGTACTAGAGCTTGACGAAACCGGGCAAAATGGCTTGGAAAGAGTATAATTTCCTCCCGTGTGTTTTTTGTGAGCGTTCTCAAAATGACGGAGATGTGTCAGAGTGGTTTGTGCGAAAGAGAGGAGAGAGTGTAAAATGACTCGCAGGAGAGTGGACGATACGTCAAAATGTGAAATCAATTGAAATGTAGTGATCACAACACCTTTTCGTGGGTCTATACTTCAGACGGTTTCAGTCGCGAAGCAATTTGGCAAAACTCCAATCATTTACAAGTCGTCGTAAGTGCATTCTGAACGCGCAAATAATGGATCTTTTTATTCAGCTACGAAAGTATACAGAATACATTTGTAGTCTCTGAATATCAGATTTGAAAACATCTGGCGATTTGCCAAATCGCGCTCTACTGAAATCGCGTGAAGTATGGACCTCGCTTACCTTATCACCGCTATCAAGTTGTGATTCGATGCCTCGCATCCTCAGCTCGAGATTTGTGATTCGAATATGGTGCAGTCCAGAAATAAGGCATATGACTAGGAAAAGAACTCCAGTAGGTAAGAATACAGTCCATAGCGGAATCGTGACGGGATCCCGCCACGACGCGGGTCGACGTGGACGTTGTGGAGGCCACGCACACAGCTTCGTCTGGCCATCATCGAGCGTGACGGTTGACTTCATCCCGACGATGCTCAGCAATTCATGGTCAGGGAAATTTCTAGACGCGTCAGGGAAAGTTCTAGATGATTCTGGAGCAACACGGTGATACCGTGGATGTGTGTCTGTGATTCTCACGATATGAAGAAGATCCTCGACCGAGCACACCGAGCGACACTCTGGAATCCATAATTTTGCATTGCATTCCCACGATTCACATATGCACTGACGAGTTGTCGAGGAAATGGGTTGGAACGACGAGCGATGTAAAGAAGGACCACGTTGTGGACGATGCGGAACGCAAGAAATTCCATCTGTGAGGAAGACGAGGAAACTTGATTAGATTTTCAGATATTTCTTGCACAAGAGTGCACACATCTTGAGTTGGACGATAAGACAAAAAATACCAAAGGAACAAATTGAGGTAAGGAGAAACAAAGATTAAAATTCAGATGGTAGAAGAAAAACGATTGAAACATCAACATATTGAACAAACCCACATTATGCTTTTGTTATGACTATAATTTCTGAAATTTGATGGAAATCTTTGCAATAAAAAATGCAATAACGACGAATGCGTCAAAGAAAGAGACTACTGAGATGTCAGAGAAGAAATTTAACAGCGAAAAAAATTTCAGGATAAAAGAAACATAAAGTGTTCACGAAAATTACTTTCGATATGATCTTGCCGTACCTTATCTTACCCAGTGGCGCCCCAAGGATTTTGTCCGGTAGGGGGCGGGCAGGGAGCGAGCTAGAGGGAAAATTTGCAAATTAGTGGGCGTGACGGGCAGCCACAATTCATGCTTTTCAACCTTTCATTGGGACAAGTGAAATTTTTCACAGGGCTAATTTGATTTTGAGCGATTCTAAAAAATGTTTTCATTATTTAAAAGCAGAATAAACAATTGTACAATCAAACACATCAAAACTCATTCAGATGACTTTCAAGAAACTCCCAACCTATTCCCGGGAGTCCCCCCCCCCTTCCCAGTCTCTGCCACCGCCTTACACTTACAACTGGCTAAGACGAGGGAGACAAGAGTTATGCTTAATATTTTCACCCCTAATCTGCAAAATTTGGGAAAACCGATTTAACTATTTTTGCGAAAGCTCTGACTCAGCAAAATTTCTTCAAAATTTACGTCACAAAATTCTTGCTGAACAAATCGCTTGACTGCTTTTCATGGTCAGCGCTAAACAACCCTCCATGGCTGGGAGTATTTCCGCATGGTTTGTGACCCAGTAAATTTAGTGAATGATTAAGGTATTGTAAAAACACCCTCAAGCCGAATATTCATGCCAAATTTTACAAAATAAATTCAAATTTCAGTAATTTAATCAGTCGCTACTTACTTTTTTCACAACTTTCCGTTGTCCTTAAACAATTTTGTGCAGCAGTAGTCGCTGGCTCATAATGAATGGTTGACACGCAAGCTGGAAATCGGAAATACGGATGACTTCCACCGCATTTCACACCCAAAGGCTGAATTGATCGGGCAAAAGCAAGACACATTTCACTCTTGGGTGAAACTTTTTTTCTTGACAAATGCTGTTTTGTGTGTGTGTGAATGAGTGAGTGATGATATGCAGGAGAAGATCAGTGTGACGGGGAAAAGGTGGAAAAAGTAGTCAAGAGTGCAAAACTGTAGCTAGCTTTTCCTGGGAAAATGGTGAAATAGGCTTTTGTATTAGGTTGGAGCATAATTCTTGCACCAAATATTTTATAAAGTTCGTTGTAAAATGTTGAAAGCAGCCCTTCATTTTTTATACCATTTTTTTCGTTGTAAAATAATATATGAAGTATTTTAGCGTATGCAACAAAAGTTTTATTTCACGCTACATAGAATTCAAAAATAAAAATTCAAAAATTACAACTTGTTGTGGAGACGTCTCATGAGCAAATAACTGTTTTTGTCAAAGAGTAAGGTAGTAAAATACAAATTAGAACTAGAATTAGAAAACGCAATTACTTCGAGAATATTGAGAAAGTGAGGTTTTTTCCACTTTATTTCAATTCAAAAAGATTTATTGAACATGGAGGATTATGAGATTCTAAAAAAAATTTCTGCAGGATATATATTTCAATCTAATAATAAGAAAAAACAAAACAAATTGTAAAAGTGACAAACTCAGCGCGCCACCAAACGGAAAAAGATAAGAGTATTATCTTCTCCGGAAATCATTTAAAAAAATTCATCAATGTTTCTAGCTCAAGAGACCTACAAAATTTTTAAATCGGAGCTAAATCAACGGATTAGCGTTGCTGCTGTTGTTCTAACTAATTGCTTAGGTCTAGGGACCAAATCCATTGGAAGATAAGCATCGTTTGGCATAGCTATATCCGGCCAATGGTGGTAAATAAAACAAGAGGTCAGGTCCGTTTAGGTAGGCATAGAGATCGAAATCGCTGATGTCGCAACAATTCCGTCGACCTCAGTGGAGGCTCCGGATGACTTCATCACAGATAAGAATGCGCGGAGGGGGGGGGGTGTGGTAGAAGAGATTGAAGTGGATAATTAGAAATCCCAGAAGTGTGGGGGAGGGGGAGCGGGAAGAGACGGGGCTGATTGGTACGAGCCCACTTAATCTGCAAAGAATGAGGTGTGAACAGATGAGAGTGCGGCGTGGCTCATGATGAGGCTGTCAACTGGCGCCCCTTTCGCCTCAGATCATAGCAAACAATGGAAGTTTAGACGTCTAAAGTGCAACAGAAAATGTAAATTTTAACCTTTTCAGGAAGTATACGAATGCCTCATGATCTGAAAGGCTAATTTGTCGGCAATGATTCTTGAAATTTCCTTTTTTTTTCTAAGTTAATCCAGACCCTTTTTTCTTACTCATAAGTCTCGGAGAAGGTTTAGAAATTAAAAGTTCTTGTTAGGAGGGATGAAGTAGAGATAACTTTGTTTTTTTGCCAGTATAAAGCCCTAGAGAAGAAGATTGAAGTGCATAACTTAAGTACGCAGATATGAGATAGCAAATCTTCATTTGAAAGCATGACAGGAAAAATATAAAAAGTTAGAAGGCGATTGAAATTTATATCAAATTTCAAAAGTTCGAATATGCAAATGACAGCATCATTATGCTATAGTTCCGGTAGAAGAGAAAAAAGGAGTAGCAGTTGAGAATGAATATTTCGGAAGTCTCATGGTCGAAAATATTTTACTATTCAAAATTTCCTGACAGAAGTGTAAAATATCAAAAGTGTTGAGAAGCCTTCGCACTTGTGGGTTGTTTCTCTTCTCAGCACCCGGATTTGATAAATTGTAGAAGTTTTTTTTTTTCTCAGCAAAACTTCAGCCCTAGCCCATGATGAATGTCCTTGAAGCACAATGGAAGCAAGGCAGATAACTCGAGCAGAGAAGCAAGTTTGCTGAAGCAGTGCAAGAATTTTTTTCTCCACTCACAAAAAATAGCAATTTTGTCAAGAGGTCTCATGAGGAGCTAGGTACGAGTTGAAAGAACGATTGGCAGTAGGGTTGTAAAGGGAAGATGAAACGTGATGACCGACAGCGCCTTCTCTCACTCGACTGACATGACACAACACTGGACATTCCATACATCAGACTACAAGAACAGCTGCTCGGCTCTCTGAACGAACACGCGGATTGAGAACGCACCGGGGGAGGGGCGCGACCCCCCGAGAACGAATTGGCTCCACTTTGGGCTTGCGGTGTGTGAGCCCGGGCTGAGTGAGCGGTACAACCGCAGGTCACGCCCATCCCGCTGAGCTGCTGCGCGCCGTACGTCGCCTCCCCGGTCGCGACTCGTGGACCCCAAGCGACGGTAACGGGCAATCAGTCACGATTTGTGTAGTAGGTAGAAGTTCTATCTAGAAACACTTTGATAACTGTTGGTGGTCCCAAAAATTCCACATGGGTTACCTACCTACATCTATACGTCATACTTCGCCGATAAAGGCCCAGATAGAAGGCATTGAACTCTGTCTCATCCGGCTTGGAACTTCTTATAGAATTCTGACATTATTTTGATGTGCAGAAGATAGAAAATGAAGCAAAAAGATTGGTTGCAAAATCAACACACATGTCCTAGCCCGAAAACTTGTGCGCGTAAGGGGCGTTACAGCCCTTTCCGGCGCTTCTGATTTTTTTGGACACTTTTTGACTTTTTCGGGCGAAGTGTGACTGGTCCCTGTACTATAAATCATGTAACAATTTCAAAAAAGTTCGCGATTCATTTTAGAAAGCGCCCGGCGGGGGGGGGGGAGGCCGGGATTGGTAGTGACATTCAGATGAACCGATGTAGGGCAGCCGTGCATTTTAGTACTATGAAGGAATATTTCATGAAGTTTGTTTCGTGATCAATCTGAATCACATATAAGTATGTTCGCATAGCTTTATAGCCAGATATTCAATTTTTAAGACTTTGCACGAGCTCCATAGAAGGGGGGGGGGGAGGGCATGATATATAGCGGTAGAAGTAGTGTAACTGCTCTTCCTCAATTGTGTAGATCCCTTCCAATTTAAGAACTAAACTAAAAAAACTTTTTAGTGCGGCAACAGGTGCCCTATTTTAAAAGCCCCATAATTTTTTTTGATGACACTATAGGGGTAGAGATTCAAATAAACAGCAAATGATGATCATTACAAAGAGGACTACAGGGAACGTAGGTATCTGAATACATGTGAATGCTAATTTTGAAATCTTAACTGGTCCTCTAGCTTGATGGCTCACACGATTCCTTCGTAGTCGAGGATGTGACTCTAAACTCCGGCTTAAGCCGTAATTCTACGAGTAAATCAGCCAATGTCCTCAGCAAAAAGTACGGTCTGGTCTCCAATTCAGGATTAAGTTTTTCGGCTGCCGATGGCTGAATTATCCGCTGAGCTATAGATAGCATCAAATTTTTTTCATGAAAACGAAAAAAACAGTACCTCATACTAGCAAAAAAATCAGTCACCACAAGGTCTTAATAAACTTGATGAGCAGGAGCCTTTGTAAAAAAAACTCTCGAGGTTTTGTTCGCTCGACGAACAAGAAAGAGCTAGCTAAAATTCAGTTTGCTCTAGTGAGCCCTTCTGCAATATGCGCATGAGAAGGTGGAGCGTAGACAGTATCAAAATTTTTTCCTTCATAAAAGCGTAAAAAAGCAGTACCGCAAGTTCTTGAAAGAAACTTTTTTACATCAAGAATGGAGCAATTGGAGACGAAGACTCA